GTTTATGAAGAAATGTCCATCGCTGTTTGTTCAACTCCACTAACGATTCGTGAATAGTTGTCAACGTACCACGTTGTTCGTTTTGAATCTTTCGATGCTTCATCGAATATTGCTCGTGGTAATAAATAAAGACGGTGAATATATTGAAAATGCACGAGAGAAACACGAATCCAAAGATGATGTTTGAATACAAGGTGATAATCGAAAAGCCGCTTTCAGTCTTTGGTACATAATCCGAAATCGTCTGCAGATAGATGGATAATGACAATAGAACGCTGACTGTCAATGCCACCTTTTCGCCGCTGTCAGTTGGCAAACAGAATGAGAACAGCGCCAGTGAAGAAATGATTGAAAATGGTAAGATGATTTTAATCACATAAAACCGCGAGAAACGTTCGAGTTCGATATCAATTTTAATTGTACTAAAATTTCGTTGATAATGCGGATTATACAAATCGACTTCTTGAATTGTAGCGTGAGTTATTTCCCATTCGGTTTTGATCAGATTATATAATCTGACGACTTTGTACAATGTACGAAGTTTTAATTGACTTGTATCGAAGATAGTTGATTGTAAAAGAATCGAGCAGTACTGTCGATCGAATGGAAAATTGCGAACGTTAACTTCACAAAACGAAACTAATTTGTATTGATAGGACCACTTTACGTGACCAGTACAGACAACAAGAACGGGATAGAAATATCTCGGATCTTTTTCCAGTAATTTTCCTGGTCCATTGATTGCCACGATGTCCGGCGTCCAAATTTCATGTGGAGTAAAAAAGATCTCCGTACGGTTTCGTCTGCCCAAGCACGGATGCTCACTGGAATTCCAATGTAATAAATCATCACACCATTTCAACTCGATATTCGCATTCAACATAATAACCTTCGAAGACAAAATTTGTTAAATCAAGTTCAATCTTCTTTTTCCCACGAACCTGTTTTTGAGGGTCGATTCCGATCACTTCCATGATCGCTACACCAATAGCAACGACTGTGGGACTTGCATTATTCGTCGACGGTCGAATCAATAGATGATCCTCATAGAGTGATTTAATACGTAGGCGATTCTTCTCTGCGAGTGTATGATCTTTTCCGAAAAGGTTTGCTATCATCGAGAATTTCAAGTAGACAATCAACGCCAATCTAGACTGCATGTTTCTTTGAGTAAATCTATCGCAAGAATTCGAACGCAGACAACAATGTGCTCTTTTCTTCTCGTCTTGTTCTAATCTGATGAAAATGACAGCTCGATAATCGTCGGAATAAAAGAAAATTCATTTATTAAATTATTCTGATTGACAGTTTGTTTTATAAGTGCAAACGAATGAAACCATACAAAAGAAAAATCGTTCAATGACAGCAATTTTCGGATGACGATGATTTTGGTAATGGTTCTCCATCTTTCTTGTGATAACACCAATCCAGATATTCTTCTATGAATGGTTTCGCAATTTGCCAAATCTAGATGAACAAACAATGAATGAACGTCCAGAGCACAACATGGAATCCATTCAATACTTACAACACCAGATTTGATAATACGAGTCGATGCTTCGATGTCATGCGCCATAAATCGATCTTTATCCCAAGTCCTGTGAAAACAAGCTTAGATACAAATGAATGAGCAATACACATACGGAATGGATTGTCGCACGAGATTGTGAACAGCCTGTAATGGTGCTGTTGATTTTAAAGGTTCAAGGAGATCGATTGCTTGACATGCCATTAGCAATTCAATGGCCATCACTAGAAATCAAGATATAAGATGAACTTTCTCGTTTCCGTTCGATAAGAACATTCTTGAGCATATCTGTATGTGTCATCTGAGATTGTCGGGAGAAAGCTTAGAAACTTCAGCGGAAATAATGACTGCTTAGTTCTATCGAGATCATCGAACATCTATCTATAATTATCTTTTTAATACAATATTTTCACTCACAAATTTCGACGTTATCGATCACTTTCAATGCTTTTCGAGCTGACCATCCGCCCATAGAGACATGATCTTCTTGGCCAGCACTTGTCGAAATACTGTCTACTGATGATGGATGACATAGAACTTTATTTTCCGAAACTAAAATATTTCGAATAAGTATTATATTGAAGATTTCATCTTTGAAAAGAATTAGAATTTACCGAGAGCTGCAGCAGTGCAGTGTGCAATCATGAAACCAGAATTGAGACCTCCTTCGAGTGTTAAAAATGCTGGTAAACCACTCATTCCATGATTCACTAATCGTTCCATACGACAGGCACTTAAACTACCAATTTCATGAACGCCAATTGCGAGATAATCCAATGCCTGAGTAAAATCAAAGCAGTTTTGTATACGATCGAAAACAGAATCTACTTTAGCCGGATATTCTCCATGGAAATTACCACCCGAGATAACTGCACCAGTGTCTGTGAACACCAATGGATTGTCCGTTGCACTGTTCATCTCAGTTGTTATGATATGTTGTACAAATTTGATCGTATCCCACGAAATTCCATGCACCTAGAATGATATTGCATAAGAGCAGGAACTATGTCAAAATGCCACGAACCTGTGGAATACATCGAATGGAATAAGCATCTTGTACTTTACCACAATTGACATGACTGTCAAAAATGTCTGATGGATAAAGTTGAGAACTTAACAATGAACGTAATCGTTGTGCGACAAGATTTTGTCCATTATGTGGTCGACATGCATGGAGATCTATTGAAAATTAAATTCATATCGGAAAAAAATTGGACGTAGCCATGGCACTCACTTGGATGCAAGTGTCTCACAGTGCCGCGCAATGCTTCTGTACTCAAAGCAGCGACAATATCTGCTTGCCGAGCTAGAGCAATAGCTCGTTCTACACCTATTTACATTAAAAGAAAAGAAATGTAGCAAATCAATTAAAATCAGAAGTATATTTTACCTTCCGCCCCCAATGAAGTGATAAACTGTGTACCATTGATCATTGTTAAACCCTAATGATATTGATATAAGTGGAAGTAAATCGATCAAATCGCAATTACTTCTTTCGGCTTGTATTGGATTGGTTCCAAGCCATTCTCTAGCAAAACGTCACATGCATTACCCCAACCTGTTTTTGGTGACCACATGCGTCCTACACCCATCACGCCTATTACAAAAATATGTTTAACTTTGAAACAAAACTCCCTTCGCTTCTTAATCCTAATATATAACCTGCTGCTAGATGTGCCAATGGTGCCAAATCACCCGAAGCACCTACTGTTCCTTGTGATGGAATTTCCGGAATGCACGATTCTATGTAAAGAAAGATTGACTGTACCATCCGATCTGATAAATCTATTTCTTACTGTTGAATGCAGCAATAATGCGGTGCAATGTATCTTCAGATATACCCGAATATCCTTTAGCAAGAATATTTATTCTCAATGCGAACATCATTCGCGCTCGTTCGATTGTTAAGGGATCACCAACACCAGCACAATGCGAGACAATCAAACGTGATTGCAGGTCGCTATATATATATACATCCTTACTTAAACGAATCAATTTATTTCCTAGTTCAAACATACGCTAGTTTGTCGTTTGGGATTATCCGTGTTGCAAACGAACCAAAACCAGTATTGACACCATAAACGACTAGAAACAGATGCTATGCTCTTTCTTTTGATTCGATCGTACAATCAAACCTTTTTTATTATCGATAATATCGTCAACAACTTGTCGTGCTTTGTTAATTACACTCCATGTTTCAGGTGGTAACTATGTGATAGAAGAAATATAGACAAAGGCAGAATACGTTTACGACAGACATACTTCAATTTGATAATCACCCGTTCCAAGACGAACCAGATCACTGCATTTCAAATGATAACCGTCAAGTACAACAACCTAAACAAACCCTTTTCTTTCGTATTATTTTCATACCGTACAGAACATACGCGCCGTTGCTCATCTCTAAAGACAAGTGTATGAGCCAGTTAGAAAGAGAATCAGTCGACATCTGAAAAACTTACGTCGCTGCACTAAATGAATCGTCATCATCCAGTCGTTTCAACGTATCTAACTCGAAAACTTAATGTTAACTCGATTAATCGGACAAATTTTACCGATTTCAACGGGTTCATCGTCTTTCAACGCATCACGGACAAGATCATTCAATGACAACAAACATCGATCAGCCATACGTCGCGCAACAAAATTATTCGGTTTCATTTGAGGTATATATTTACCACCAAACTGTTTGTAAGCTGTCTCGCATAACCATCGTATAGTTTCCTTTCCTGACTCGCAGACGATGAGAAACTTGTCCGGCATGCCATGAATTGTCACAGGTACACGAATGACCATTGTTATCCTTTTCGTTCGTTTTTGTGAACTGCTCGCAAAGTCACGATCGATTGCGTTTAAAAGAAATATCCACACAAAAATGAATGAGATGAATACAAAAAACGTTTTTTTTATACAAACGCGTAGGAGACACACCCCACCATGCGTATCCAATACACGTTTTTGCTTTTGTTTCATCTGTATGCATAGTTTGAGAAAATGACATGTCGATCAATATCCTTTTGACTTCAAATCATGATCACAGGCCAGATAAATATCCTGTGTTTAGTGTTTCAGGGGAGATTTTGTATGATGTCAAAAATCCACCTTTTCAGGTGACCACATGACAAATTGTCTCGGTTATCCCAATGTTCGTAATATGATGAAATAATGGAGAAATAGGTAAACAGCAAAACACACCTCGACAATGATAATATTATGATTTTTTCAAATGATTGTTTTGATTGAATCATTAACTATGACGAAAAACACTAATGATCAATTTTCAAGTGCAAAATCGCCTGAAGTAAATAATTTAGATGTGCCGTATATTTGAAGGACAAGATACTATCAATCAATCGAACAAACGGAATATTACGAATGGGACAATTTATTGTCATAAACGGCAGAGAAAAAGAAGAAGAAGAAGAAAGAGACAGTAGCAGCAAGGTAGAAGTACGAGATAGAGTTTTCATAATCATATTTGAAAATTCGTGTGAAGTGTTTTGCGAATTGCTTGACGACAATTGCTGTTGAGTAGACTGGGATATTTATCGCAGACTCTTGGGATAGATTCGAGGAGATTGTTTTTTGTGCAGGTAGGATCTGTCGTCGGAGATGAGTCTTCAGATACATCGAAAACGACATGTCGAATATTCATGGAAACTGGTTGACCAACCCGAACTTGTCTTTTGGAAATGTCGATTACAAATGTATTGACTGGCATCGATGCTGAACGTCTTACTCGATGTGATGAATTATTTGTGGTGTATTGACTGGATATATTGCGAAGAATAGATGGTCTTGATCGTACTCGTAGTGGCTCAGTTCGGATCGAAACATAATTCTGGGATGATTTATTGACATCAGCGGAACGGAAGCGTACCATGGAGTTTCTGTTTGTATGCTGCGGATGATAAAATGAATTCTTCAAGCAGCTTGTCAGCGGATATCTTGTTTGAGCTGATCCATCATGGATAATAGTGATCAACTTTGGCCGTTGTTGACGTCCACAGCAAGTAGATGACATCGAACCCATGAGAACTTGTCACTATGCTATCACCTCGTTCCAGTTTGACCGAGATTAAATTCTCTATTGAATATTCTCTTCTTTTTCAAATGTAGAAGATTGTCATCTCCATCTGTGTGTACACAGTAGAGTAGATTAAGAATCACATTCAGTTTTCTCTATAGAGAAGAAGAAGAAGAAGAGAATATAGGATGAGGTTTGATTATTCTTTCNCTTCGTTTGCCTTTTTATTGAATGATCGATGACAGGATGGATCCCGAATACAGATATCTTTGTCTATATATTGTAATCGATTCTCGTTTTCAAAAGCTAATGATTACATCCCATTGTCAAGATAATACATCTTGCATTTGAGATTGACAATGAAGAGATGACTAGTTGAATTAAACGCAAACGACGTCAAAATGTTCTTCAACAGTCATAAGAGGAATTATATACTACTGCGCATAGGGAAAATCAACTCTTGGCTTGTGATCGTTATTGATGCTTTTTAGTTCTGTATCACCATGATGTCATTGACGCGTTTTACAGGGGAGGAGAAGAAAAAAAAAGAAAATAGAAGAACGTGTCATTTTCTTCGTCAGTTTTTTTCTCTTTCTCTTGTATTTTTTTTTCAAATCACCAATAACATCGCTTGAGACAATGTACAATCAATTATTTTTACTCATTTAAATATCATGTCGAAATATTTTTTTCATTTCATTGAGCTCGTTTTTCTTGAATCAAATTTATGATTTTATTATAAATTATTTGTTTCGAAATTTTTTCAGAAACCAATTAATATTCTCCTTGAGCCACGAAACAACAACACAGTTAGATAATATAAAAAGAAAGCATACGGTGTATTGCAACATACCTGTGTATACGTGTACATCGATGCATCCAAATATAAAAATGACATCATTGCATGGTAAGTTACATCGAGTCAGTTATGTGAAATAGCATTGGTTTTATAATGTATTTGCAGGGTTCATCATACTATTACTTCTATTAGTGATTTCCTGTGAATCCGATTCCTCAGATTCACTAGAAAATGGAAATATTATCACAACAAAGTCTATTTCCGTGATGACAACTAATTCGACTACTATATTTATAAATGGATCGACGACAGTGACTACTACCGCTTCTTTTTCTTCTTCTACTACTACTTCTACTACGACTAGTACCATTGATAATGCTAATAATACAACAACTTCAGTCGAGCAAACTTCCGTATCGTCTAATTTATCAACTACAACAACTGCTCTCAGTGAATTAACGACATCCGATGTTGAAAGTACTGTGCCCTCAAAATGTACGATCTGTCTTCTAAATGATAATCATCATTGAAGAGCTCTTTTTTTTCTTTCTTTTCCAACGTAGCATCAACACGACATGGTTGGTGGTTATTCGTTGCACTAATTATCACTGTAGTAGTGATTGGTGGCATCGGTATAATTTATTATCATAGAAATCACACTCCTTATCGCCGGTATGTAAATGACATTTAACATTCAAATAGCATATGAGTAATTTGCTTATGAGATAAGCATATGTGAACTAATCCTTAGCAGATTGAATAAATTCCTAAGTTAGAAGATAAGTTATTAATCTTTTATTCTTCTCTTACTTTGAAGATTTCTTCGCAATTGGCGATCACGTGATGACGAAGCAGATAATATTATTCTTCAACTCGAACAACCTGAACTAATGAATGGTCAATGGCCGCCTCGTATCTCATTTGCTTAATATAATCTCGAATATTTTTTTAATTCGTTTTCTCATTCATTTTTATGATAAAAGACAAAAGAAGATGATGATGAGTCCTGTTTTTTTTTGTTATTATTTTTGGTTCAATAGAAATCGATTTCTAGGGTGCTCGAAGATTCCATCCGCTCTCTTTCGCACGTCTTTCTCGTTCTGTCGTCTTTGTCTCATTCCAGGTATTCAATCGCGGTTGATCACGTTTCGTTGTATTACATTGAAATTGTAAGGTGTAGGCACGACGTGGTTCAGTCGAAGTATTAGCGTCCGTGTAATGTAAAGTGCGACAGTGATGAAATGTTGCACCACCACTCGGAAGCGGGCATGAAACGATTTCTTTCGTGTATTCGGAAGGAGTATCGACTTCTAAACCATGAATACGTGGATTATTATTTTGTGTGTGGTGTGGAAGCACATCGCTTGCTCGATGTGAACCAGGAATGAATTGCATACAACCGTTTTCAACAGATGTTGGTTGTAGAGCAACCCAAACACCAACGGATTCATAGGATAGTGTCGGATCCCAATAAGCCTCGTCTTGATGCCATGGAGTCGGTAAAGAATTGACTGATGGTGGTTTCAGTATCGCATGATCCTAGTGAAGACATGTTAGAGAAGAAAATTGGCATTTGAAATTTAGATTCGTCATACTCCTTTGAATTCTGTGGCCTCGCCCAGTAAACTCTTGCAAACTTCATATGCATTAGCATACATTTGAGTACTGTATAGATCAAATCCTGTCATAGTTTTCCCGTAGATTGATGGCCATAAGAGTTGAGGTGCAACCGCTTCTCGGTCATCGGTATCTTCAGAGAGTAAATCAAAGAAATTGCCGTGTTCTCGACCTAGTTTCGCTGCAAACCACTGAGAAGAGAAGAAATGAAATTTTTCCGATGAAAAAGAACAAATGAGCGTACTTTATCATATTGATCACGAATGTATGTTACTTCATTTTCATCAATCAAATGATCAATACTTAAAAATCCATTTGTTCTGAAGAAATCGACTTGTTCCGGCGTTAGTTTTATTGTGGGTTCTTTCAGTGGTTGATTATTTTCTGGAAGAACGAAATGATCTTGAGCTTGGTGTGGATTTTTCACTGACTCCATCTAACAACACAATCGACACATAGAACAGAATATGAATGTGCTGATAAGAGAGGAATAAACATTCCTTTTTTTACATTTAAGCTGACTTTCAGTCAAGTGATTCGTTATCTGTGCGTTTACATTAATGAAATGTGATATCCACTACACTATAAAGGACAGCTCGACATGTAAATACATATATGGAAATGATCTATTAGCGACGCTCGTTTCACCTCCTTCACTATTTGATGTTTTTCTGTCGGCATAAAATTGACTAGGTAAAATACAGAAAAGAAACAAAAATACTTCTTTTCTTCAATCCATGTGATTCTATCAAAACCAGCGTATGTCAACAAATCTCCTCATCGCAGCGCTCAATACAACAACTAGCCGTCCGCCTGATGATACTCCGACACCACTATGGATTGGCTATCTGTCTGTAATCATTGCTGTCCTATTCTTTGGCACTAATCTCGTTCCGGCAGGGAAATATCCCATCGGTGATGGATTATCATTTCAATTTTTTATGTGTTGTGGAATTTGGGTCACTGGCCTAGTTATCGATTTATTCGTCAAAAGTCCACAATTTTACCCGTTGGTATTAATTGGTGGCATTTTATGGACAACAGGAAATATTCTCAGTCTTTTGGTGATTCGCATCAATGGTCTTGGAATGTCCATGTTACTTTGGTGTACAACCAATATGCTTATCGGTAAGTCAACAGTTAGAGTAGTTTACGTCTTATTGATTCATTTGAGTAGGATGGGCAAGTGGACATTTTGGTTGGTTTGGGCTGATTCCGGAGGATGTTGAGAAACCGTATTTGAACTATATTGGTGTAGCAATTGCTTCTATCAGTGGAGCGGTCTTTTTGGCGATACGAACGATTCGACCGGAAGAAATTTCTGTGGATATCGAAGAACGACAGCCTATTCTTCATCCATCACCACCGATTGTAACAACGACAAGTAACGATGCACTTATTGAAACGACAATAACAACAACACCTGTTTCACCACCGACAAAGATGTATTTACGTGTGATCGGTTGCCTCCTTGCTATTCTAGCCGGCGTTCTTTTCGGATTTATTTTCATTCCAAGCACTTATATACAAGACCATCCGTACGGTCAATATCAATCAGCCTCGAAAAATGGTCTTCATTATGTTTTTGCCATGTATTCCGGCATTTTCTTTTCGTCCATGTTTTATTTTATCATTTACATTGTTTACAAAGGCAATCGTCCATATCTTCATGTTCCAAGTATTTTTCCTGGAATTCTCTCTGGAATTATGTGGGGCATAGCCCAAGCTGGCTTTCTCGTTGCTAATAGTGTTCTCAGTCAAACAATCTCGTTTCCATTGATAACAATTGGGCCTGGTACAATTGCTATTTTTTGGTCGATCTTTTATTTCAAAGACATATCTGGTCAACGCAATTATCTGATTATCATTGGAGGAACTTTACTTCGTATTATCTCAGCTGTACTTATCGTGCTTTCTAAGCCGATCCCACATTAAATGAACAGAATATTCTTCGTCTTTTTTGGTTTCATGTTGTTTGTTTTGTGTATATAACTAATAGAAAAAAAACAACAACGAGAATTATTATTGTCATACAAAAAATGACAAATAACAGGCAAAACACGAAAACAAATTCTTTTTTTTAATATCAGTTTCCACGTCCTCGGCCGCCTCGGAAGCCACCGCCACCACGGCTGCCGCCGCTTCCACCTCGACCTCGAAAACCACCTCCACCGCCTCGGCCTCCACCACCACGGCCTCCACGTTGGAATCCTCCTAGATACGAACGATGCCAATCAAAGATATTGTCTTCTGAATCATATCTTACCTCTACCGCCGCCACCGCCTCCTCCTCGACCACCTCTTCCACCACCACCTGGACCTCCAGTTGGTTTTGTGCCTGGTGGCCGTGGCAAAAATCGAGCTAATGGTAACAGTTTGTTTGGATCAATGAAAACCTGCAAGGTAAGGCTTAGTATTCTCTATCACACATCTACTCGCTCGCTTTCTACATACTTTCTCATTCTTTTTGAACGAGGTTGGATTCATATTTTGCAAAAGTGATACGGAGAACCACTAGAGTAACAAATAAAAATATATATATATACATGTTCGTGTCAGGGATGTCCTTTTCGCATACATATTCTTTCATTGGACCAAGAATTTCATCGACTTTACCAATTTGCTGTTTATTTTCAAGAAATACGCCAGCATTAAAGTATGGAATCATGTCGTTTGTTGCCTTGCATACAAGTTGACTTTCGCATGGATGAGCGTATGTTCCAAGTTCTAATGAAAATCAAATCAAAGGGTAATTGAGATTTGAGAACAAAGTTCGTTGGTCTTACCAACAACACTTTCAGGAGGACCTTCGGGCTCTCGATTACCTCGGCCACCGCCACCGCCTCGAAATCCTCCACCACCTCCTCCACGACCACGGAAACCTCCTCCGCCGCCGCCTCGACCGCGACTACCACCTCCTCCTCTAGAATCTCCACGTCCTAAAGATAAGAAATAAACAGTTGAACAAAGCATTGCTCGATGATTATTCACCTCCTCGGAATGGTCCCATTTACGAGCTAAGTAACAACGAAAACGATTTGTAGAAAATCTAGAACAACTGTTATGAACGAAAAATGAATTTTGAAATCACCAAATCAACGTCCACGAAATATATATCTCTCTCGAGTGTCTATTAGTAACTTCTCATACGAGAAACAACCAATCTAGACAAAAAGGATCACTTCGATAATAGAGGGCTGTATTCCAGATAGAGGTCGCCGATGGCAGATGATTAATCTCGAGTGAATTTGTGCGTCTTCAACGAATAGTAGAATGTCATATTATTTTTCCATTCTATCGTGAAAACTTCACTTTTGTCATTTCTTCATCGATTTCTCAGGTAATTTTCCCCATCGTAAAGAGCGAAGCTTTTTTGTAATTTTCCCGCATACGTTTTCTATGTATTTATAAGTCGATCTTTTCCCCCGCACAATAGGTAAACATATATATATTTATGTATACTGGGGAAAATTCCAAAAAGTTTTTACTGATCACAATTTACCTGAATGATGATTCGTCTAGGAAGAAAGTATACGTCAATATGATTCATTTACATTACTTTCAGATACATAGTTCACATATACATTGTTATAGCTATATGCGATAGCACCAATTTGGATATCTGCTGGATGTTTCTTTATGATGGAACATGAAAATTCAAATCGATCTCCGAACGATTTTAAAGAAACAATATGTCCCATAGAGCATGATGAACTAATTCGACAAAATCAATCAGCACTTGAAGAATATTTTAAGTTTTGTACTAGTCAACTGGTTTTACCGATTTTTAATTTCAACAAAAAGCAACTCCATCTATATGGTACTGCAACAACAAATTTCGAAGCTGGTAAGTTATATTTTTATGACTACAATATCATCGTAAAGTTTCTTTTTTTTTTCAAAAGAGAAGCGATTCCTGGATTTACAAAACAATTTAGTTTTGAAAAATAGTCCCCAGTCTATTAGAGATCGTGTGTGTTGGTGGTACGAAGCATGGGATGGAACGTGGCAATTATATTCTCCCCGAATGAACACTGAAATTGAAGAACGTCACCAATTGGACTCATCAAATGTATATCTTTCTTGCGCAAGAGTATGAAATTACGAACAGATTGTTCTTTTTCAGTTTACAATGCTGAATGAAATAGGTGAGAAAATAACAATTGACCTCACAAAGTCGATTGAAATTTATGGTACTCGTATCAAACGTATGCTCCGCTCGGAATATGACAAACGTTTACCAATGTATTGGAAACTCACGCCTTTGGAAGTGTAAGTCATTTATATGGAACTTTTTCCTTCATACTATTCGATTCATTTAGAGAACGAACATTACTCGATGAGAAACTAAATGAATACCTTGCAATCAAACACCAGTTCGATGAGACTATGCACAACCGTTATGTAAACTATCAAAGTCATATCCTTCTTTTCGATTCAGATATCCGTCGACCGTTTTTTTTTAGACAACGATCGTTTCGATTGAGCGTATCCAAAATTTTTCTTTATTTACACGATTCTGCATTTTACATGATAATTATATCCGTCGGTATGGTAAAGAAAATAATGGCACAATGCGCTATCTATATCATGGCTGTCCCGAATCAGCAGCGAAAAGAATTATCGAACGAGGTTTCAATCGAAGCTATAGTGGAACTAATGGTACAGTACCTGACTACTTATTTGCATATTTTTTACTTTTAAACTTTGCCCCGGTCGTTTTCAGGGTGTGTTCATGGGCGCGGTGTGTATTTCTCATCAAAGGCGAGCTACTCCGATCAGTATGCAACGCTAAATGATCTTAAGCAAAAAGGAATTTTCTTCAGTCGAGTGCTCGTAGGACGAAGCATGCGTACGTATTTGCTTTTTTAGTTCGTTGATTAATACTTTCACTGTACTATTAGGTGGGAATCCGCGTATCTGCGAACCAGACGGTAACTAAAGAATAGAGAGCCTTACTCATCGAGAATTTCTTTGATAAATATCTGATTTTAGACGGATACGATACAACGACGGATGGTGATCATATTTTCGTATGTTATCATGATAATCAGGTAAAGTCTATCTTAATCGTAAAATCAATTACATACTGTCATTTTCTTCTTATTCGAATAGTGCTATCCGGAATATTTACTGGTTTATGTGTGACGTCACATATATATATAAAGTTCAAATGACTCATCAGGCTGCCTATGTTATCTGTTATAATATGTGCATACGGTTTGCGGATACTTGTGTTTATATATATTTAATTAGATTGTTTGTTTTTTATAAATTTGAAAAATATAATAAAAGGAGCTTGTAAATGCCATATCGACACGAGCAATCAAATATCCAACGTTCTATACATTGAATAATGTTTTAAGAATTTCGTACTTTACCAGGAACGTATGAACTATAGTCAATGGCAGTATCTTGAAGGAAAACATGCAGTGAACGTTCATTTTGGGCTAGAGGATGACCCGCAACTCTAAAGAATAATAATCACTTCATTGGATTTCTTGCAAAGCATTCGATTCTACTTATTGATGAATTGTTCTAGACCTTTGCGTCGTTCTTCGATGAAATCATCTTCAAAAATACCATCATCGCGACGAAGAAACCCGGGCATTTGTCGCGTCCAAGCTTTTCCAGGTAGAGCTGGAACAACAATCTAAGTAGAAAGAATTAAACATGAATAGAAGACATTATACTCGCTTTACTTTACTATCCCGTTCCAGTTCCTTACGTAACCATTCGAAATCAGAGTAACGTCGACGTACAGAACATTCTTTCAGCCGGAAAACCGGTAAATTTGTCTGAATACAAAAAGGATTGTTTCACGAGCGCAAAACCATTTGTTTTCGTTTACTTTCATGCGAATTTCATAGTCCGTATGACGTTTATTACCGAAACCGTGTGTCTCAGGATTGACAACATCAATCTCAAGGAAATTCGCAGGTGGATCGTAGCGATCTTCCAATGAAATCTAAATTTAAAAAAGATCTTCTCTGATAAAAATTCGAATTTTTACTTTCGTACGGGTCTAGTTGGTAGTCGTAAAATTCCCCTTCGGTTCTCGGTATCGATTGCCGCCATTGAGATAGAACAGTGTGAAAAAGCAAATGAGTAATAGTAGAATAGAACAGTAAAAAGAAAGGTGAAAGTATCTGTAGGCTCAACATCGTTCTCCATTCGTCATCTACTAACATCAAGTGACCTCTGTATGTACGTAGCGATTTGATTTCATTGGATTGAATTTTGAAATGAAATTAGAAAAAGAGTTTTGTCGATAGAAAGTCGAAATCCGATCATCAGATCGAACAGAAAAGAATGACGAATGTTAGCTGACATAGTAAAACGATGACAAAAGAAATTCAATCGTTAATCGACACACATTCTTTCAGATTGTTTTAAGCAACGTCAATAACCGAATGTCATCACGTAAATATGTTCCTATTTGATTCAGCTGTCTCCTTATCGAATCTGATTTGTTTACAGGCGTACATATATCTGTGTATAATTTCTTACGTTTCACTCATTTCTTACCACAGTTCGCTTTCGTGTTTTGCTTGATTATAACCATTTTTAAAGATATGAAAAAATCTACTAAAACCCATTGTAAAGTACCGAATGTCTTTCCATCGATGTCAGCGATTATTGCCGGCTTTGAGCCTCAGCGCTTTGTCTGGCGAATGAGTTTCGCATTAACTAGCGTTCCGCGATATTTCATTGCTTATTTACAATTGCAACGTTTGCTTAATCGCTCTCATATTGCTTATCGAGATTTCTATCGGTGGGTACAACTAATCAATAGCTTGATTCATACTGTTGAATTAACATTTCTTCTTCAATTAACATATATCTCATCGAATGAAAACAAACGAATGCATGAATACGGATTTATCGGTTTTACTTTGTGTTCATTGATTCATATGCTCGGAACGATTCTGATTGATTATTATTGGCCACGAACGAAGAAGATCTGTTTGAACGAACGAGAAAGAGCTTGTCGACGAAAACGACTGAAATGGTTCCTGTGTAATTTTGTTTCGCTGACTATCTCCTCATATTTCTTCTATCGACATAATCGTTTTTGTGAACCATTTATTTATTCAGCCTATTGTCTTTGCGAATATTTTGTTATATTAACCAATATTGGTTATCATTCGATCATTCGAGACGAATGGGACCAAACTGATGGCCAAGTACACGTATTCTACTAGGAAATTAGTTTTTGTATGAAATAAAGTGTGTAAATCTATTCAGAACTGCAATGCACTGTTCTTTCTCCGACAAACGAAGCAAAACATGTCTGTTTCGTAACTACGAACAACTGACGCCATCTGTTATCTTGTAGCGAGTAGCGTTTGTCATCTGACCAATATGAATGAGTAGAAAGCAAACGAGGTAAATAAATAAATACAGATACGAAACGAAAAATCGTCTTAGTTTAAGACGATAAAAACTCATCGTATACAAACCTCAACAAGTTGTAGAGATGATGCGAAAGAAGGTAAATGTGCCTTTTACTATTTAGTACTCGTAAACGTTAACGAATCGATCTTTCTCAGGTTCTTCTAATGGGTAAAAGTGGTGGTGGTAAAACGTCGATGCGTTCCATCATATTTGCCAATTACAGTGCGAAAGATACTCGACGTCTCGGTGCCACAAGTATGAAAGTGTGAATATCGATGCTCTTCTCATTTCGTTTGTTTGTAGTGGATGTTGAACAATCCTACGTTCGATTTCTTGGTAATCTAATATTGAATCTATGGGATTGTGGTGGACAAGAGGCGTTTATGGAATCATATTTTGCAACACAAAAAGATAATATATTCAAGAATGTTGAAGTGCTGATCTATGTTTTCGACGTTCAAAGTCAAGAAATAGATAAGGTTCGTTCCGATGAATACTGTTCTTTCATAAGATAGATGAAATTTTCGTCAGGATTTGCATTATTATCAATCGTGTTTGGAATCGATTTTACAACATTCATCGAATGCAAAAATCTTTTGTCTAATACATAAAATGGATTTGATTCCTGAAGAGATGCGTACAGCGGTAAGAAAGAAGAACTTCGCATTCAAAACGGACCAACACACTTGAAACTTCTAGATTTTCGCCGAACGAGAAGACATTCTCAGAGATTTATCGAAGCCTCTACAATGTGCCTGTTTTCGGACGTCCATATGGGACGAAACGCTGTATAAAGTTAGTCGAATGAAAAGCTTTTTTCTTTGATTACACATGAATTTCTCTAGGCCTGGTCGCAGATTGTTTATCAATTAGTGCCGAATGTCAAAGGTCTTGAAAAAACGCTGGAGAACTTTGCAGAAATCATCGATGCGGATGAAATTCTTTTGTTTGAGAAAGCCACGTTCTTAGTAAGGAAATTCCTTCTGAATCACTCAACCGTACATATCTATCTAGGTGATTTCCCACTGTACACGAAAAGAACATCACGATACGCGACGATTTGAGAAAATAAGTGATATCATCAAACAGTTTAAACTATCATGCAGGTTCGTCGCGAATTGGCTGAGTACAGAACAACATCTGTTGATTTAATTTAGTAAACTCGCAGCAGCTTTTCAATCGATGGAAGTGCGTAATTCGACATTTGCATGTTTTATTGAATTATGCACACCGAACACATATGTGATGGTGGTAATTAGTGATCCGACCATTTGTAAGTATTCCGTAGATGATCATGTCACTCGCCAACATCATGTTTTCTTTCCAATTAGCGTCTGAAGTAACGTTAATGAATATTCGAAATGCTCGAAAAGTATTCGAAAAACTTGAAAAAGACGGTGTGCGAAGTTGAGTTGGTTCATGATGCCGGTGCTGAACGATAAAACTAAACCGAACCTATTTACAGCTAACTTGTCAGCGGACAAAAAAAATCTTCATTTTCATACATACAGAATATATACACAAATGTATAAATTTACCACTTGATTCTTCCTGTTTGCCGCTCTTTTCAAACCTACCATACCGGGTGATACTATTTGTGTTCGTTTATTTTGATTTATCAGGTAGCATTTCTTTTCTTGATTCTTTTTTAAGTTTATGTACAAAAAACAACCAAACGAAATAAATGTGTTTTCTTCAACAAAATTGCACGTCTTCTGTTTTCTTTCTTAAACTTTCTCCGCTTTTTCGATTGGTTTCATGATTATATTAATCGGTTTGACATTCCCGTCGGTATCATGATGTTTACTCCAATCGAACGACGAACCGAGCCGAATTACAAGTATAGCTACAACACCGATGAAGAATGCTAATTGAAACCATGAGCCAACAATAGCGATCAGCATGTAGATAAACAACGAAGAGACGTTAGGGTATTGTTCAAAAACGATTTGATTTAATTGAACACATGACGTGATTTGTTTATCATTTGACGTGACTGCTGCGCAAAATTTGAGAAAGCCATTTGTTAACATAGACGCGTTGATAAGAGCCAAAAGACCGAGGATGATAGACATTGGGAACCTAGATAGTTTAATCGAATAAGATCAGCTTTTTTTTCTCGTTTCTTTCGCTCACCACGGAATGATCAAACATCGATCGTTGGATCGAATGACTCGATGATCACCGTTGAATAGAATGAAGAAAAATCCTGTCATGATACAGTAGATGAATGTAAAGACATTCGAAAATGTACAAAAGTCACAAGTTGACGGTGAACTGAATATTTCCGATGCCGGATTGAGTTTGAGCAACCAATTCTCGTTTAATTTAGTTAATTTTTCAAAATTAAACGTTGCGTACAAAGGACATTGCTGTTTAAATTGTACGACAGTCGAACCAACGATGAGTGCGATTGTGAAACTAGTTAGACCGATTAGGGTGATGAATAGGAGGAATGTTAGACGTAAACTACGATCGGAAAAGTGTGGAATATGACAAGACGTTAACAGATGCAATGGCCAAGAGAAGAGACGTAAAACAAATGTTTGTTGTTTTAATTCAGCTTTAGTCGGCGGTTTTACGTCAGTGGTAATGATTGTCGTAGGTTTCTCACGTACAATGACGACTTTTTCTTCTTGTGCTAATTTCTCAGGTGATAATGCCGACATTTGAATTAATTGCTGTTCATCGTTATTAGTTATCGACGTATCCATCGTTTTAATAGTTACAATATCTTGTTTGATTCTGTTTTCTTGTATATAACAGTAACTGGATGTGTAGGAGTGAAGAGAAATAGATGAAATAGTTTGAGTGATGATGCTTGGATATATCTATTCGCATGGACGTGCTTTGTCGATAGAAGGAGAAGAAGAAGAAAAAATGTAAATACTTCTTTCTCTCTTTCTTTCTTTCGTTCTCCATTCCATGTTCAGTGGATTTTTCTTTTAATTGATTGGCTTTTGTGATCTCATATATATCTATTCGAATAAATAACCACAGGAGAAGGTTAATTAGTTGAAATCGATTTACTGTTGAAGAAGATTTCTTCTTTGTTTTAGATCGTATTTGTTATTCTATCAATTGCACTAATTATGAATATGTAAGTTATTTCGTCGGTCGAGAAATGCATAGTTTTTGGTTTGTTCTAGTACACTTGATTCCGATGATAAACACTATCAGAAAATGTAAGAAAGAATTTGTTTTTCTCGACAAGGAAATGTTCTTTTCCGTTTGTATCTAGTGAGTTGAATAGTAATGATCCGATTCAATCTACACATTTAATCTCGCGGGATGAAGTCGAAATTCAATTGACAAGTCGAAAAAATCTTTTGACAGAAACAACTTCGACAGACGATGTTAATCAAGTACGTGAAGGATTCATCTATCTTACCGAAATATGATAATTTCATTTCGAATGAAGAAGAAAATGATGATTCGGTTAAATTGGAATGACATTTTACTTACTTAATATTTAGATCTTTTCTCAACCGATCATCGATCATAATTGGGAATCGAGATATTATGCAGGTCATCTGGTTGTGACATGCGGAAGTTTTGTTGCGTATGCTCTAAAACGTAAGTTGAACTTTTGTTGATTATTCATTGTTTTGGTGATGTACGGGAGACTTCTTTTTCGAAGGACAAATCGGTGATGATATTGTTTGTGTTTTCTACAAACAAGTGGACTTTCGTTCCGTGATTAACCCTCCATTTTCGGGTGATATTCATGATTTAGCATTTTCATTCTCCGATGATATTCTTCTGGCGTGTGTTGATCAAGCATGTCATTTACGTATCTATCGTATAGAGAAAAACATCGAACCTGATGAGCTACAGTAAGATTTCAAAGAAAATTTCACACATCCAACAGTATATTCTTTGTGATCGACTAGACATACATTGATCTTATTTGTTGATTTACAATATGCGAACAACCAGTCTCTGCCGACTGTATCCTGGTGCTGTTTTATACCAGACAGTAGTGATAGTGAAGACAGTGATGCGTACACAATGATGAGTGTCACACGTGGCTCCACTGTTTGTTGATTTTTCTTGTTTAGATCGAATAGAATGCCACTTTTTATTTAGGTTGAGGTACTTAACGTTGCAAATGCGTCACAATCATGGATATCGGACAATATGTTAACTTTAAATCAGATCCAAAACGGACGCTTGACGTATGAGGATAATACTGGCGTAAGTCGTTCACGTTTCTACCCAGGGCGGTTTTTTGTGAATTCAAATTTTAGAATGTCACTTGCGTGTGTTTTTCACCAGATGGTACTGCACTGGGAACAGGTACAGATAAAGGTGAAATCAAATTCTTCTCGATTAATTTTGAACAACCGCAAACTTGCCGGTAGGATTTTTACAATCAAATTCACATATTTTAAGTAAAGAGGCTTACTTTAGATGTTTACATGTTTGGATTCCGCATGAAGGTCGACCTGTTTCCTCATTATTCTTTCTGGATGATCATAAGAATTTAACACAAGAGTACGTATGTCGAAGATTGGACTTCTTTTACTTCTCGACTATTTCAGTACACAACTGTGGCGTTATGCCGTGTCGGGTTGCGATCAAAATCGAGAATTGAAGGTTTGGAGTTGTACGAATTGGAACTGTTTGCAAGTTCTTCGGTAAATACCAAAGAAAGCTTTCGACTTAACTTTGTGTTCCAACTTCAGCTTCACTACTGCATTCCATCCAACATCTCAATTGCCCATGCTAAAAGCTTCAATAGATTTAACTTCACGTTTTCTTGTTCTTTCCGATATACAGCGCAATGTAAAATCAAGTCTACGAATCTTTGTCATATGTCTATAGTGTTTCTATATAGTCCATGTATGTTTTAACCATTTTCCAAGATGCTGATGGCAATCGAGCATATTTCTCATCGATAAATGCGTTTACTTCATTCAAATCGCCAGCATTAAGTTTCGCAATTACAGCTGCAGATCAAATTAGTAGTAAGCTTTCCTATTCACTTAGTCGCCGTTTGATTTCAACTTGTTTTTTAGATAAGCATACCGATTTTGTTACTTATGGAGTGAGGATATACAGTATTCATGCAAAGTAGATGAAGATGAAATACTACTGAATAATGCGGCATAATTGTTCTTTGTTACGTTTCGATTAGATCTTTCAAAGAGATTTTACTGGTGTTTAAAACGAATCGTTTCATGACGCCAAATTCTGTTTATTATGAAGAGCAGAACCGTTCGAATCAAGATGGTCTAATTGAAGGTAAATGATAGGGAACAAATGAGCGAGCTGAGAGATCCTATTCTATTTAGATTTTCGTTTCGAACCATACATGTTACATTTGCGAAATAAAGATATGTCATTTCCTACCGTAATGGCCAATCCAATCGAGCCTCCTGTTGATCATTTAATGAGTCTTCCACCGTAAGATAACTTTCATCGTCTGGCCATGATTTTAACTACTAACTATATCTGCTTCAGATACAGTATCGATGATCTGTTAACGCCAAATAGTTCATTGACAAATATAACTGCTTTGCAAAATGGTGATACTGCACGTTCATTACTGGCCAGTCATGATGGACTAACAGTTAATCAGCCACCACCAGCGTCGTCATCATCAACAGCGGCAGCAGCAGCAGCGACGATCGATCCTTTGCATGAATTTTTATTAGGTAACAGGACAGCGTTTGATGATATTAACGGTCAACAGCGACGAAAACCATCATCGCATGGTGCACATACCTCGCCATTACAAACTCAAATAGCTGCAGCAGTTACAACGAGTCCCAGTCATCGACTGAAACCAATTGGAACGACAGACATAGATTCATCGTCATTGATTATCAATGGTAAGAATAGATTCAGCTCTTCGAACTGTCAAAAACTGGATTTTACTCTAAGGTATACCACAAATACCATACGACTTGACTGATAAAGAAGTTGCTGAGAGTATGTCATGTGCTACAAATTATCCTCTTGTATTCGAACCAGGTATGTCCTTTTATTACTATCTCGCTCTGTTTTTACAGTGTATGGAATAACTATTCTAGTGCCCAGTAGTGATAGTGTTGATGTAGATACAGTCTTCATTCCAATCAAAACACATGATGATACTGAACCGGTAAGATCTTTCACGTAGTACTCCAAATATAATCGAGCGTTTAATTAGATCAACGGTACTCAAGAACCACTTTCATTACCATCAAATTACGGCGAAGATCAGCTATGGTCAAAGCAAAACACAATCAAGTAAGAGAGTATTTTATCTTTAGTTTTCTTTTGAAAAACAAACTTTTCGAAGAGGATTAAAAACATCTGGTCGAGATGACGACGACGATTACAGTGACCCTACAGAGACAAGGTACGATTTGTTTTTGTCGAACATCCATCTCTATTCTTTAACTTCTTTTTGTCAAAAGTGATAAAGATGATGATTCAACCGCTGATGAAGAAGACCTTCTACATACACGTATTAAACGACGCAGTGGACGATCACCAAATAGCTCACAATTAGGACTGAATACTGATGTAAGTGCAACCTATCATAAATTTCTATTAAGTTTCATTCATCGAAAATATAGTCATTACATGAAATTCGGCAATTAACTCATTTATTAACTGAACTACGCTCACACCGAAATGATCTTTCCGCTGAGCCTATGGCATCGGCCACGGCTCAGTTGTACAATGAGGAAAAGCTCGAGCATTGTTGTCAACGTCTCGAGCAGCTGTCAGCCAAAGTTGATCGGTTGATGAATTTCGAATCCGCTGGTCAAGGTGGCACCTCACGGCCGAGTCGGCCAAGTCCAAATGCCGCACCTGTTGAAGTTTTAGCAACTAACGAACCACAAACAACATTATCGGACACACATTATGATCGATTGGAAGCGATCTTAATTGAAAAGATTCAAACATACATTCAAAACGGTCTGCGAACTTCATTCATTTTAAATTTTCAACTGTTTTTCTTCTCTAGCTATGACATCCGTTTTCGAGCCTTACCGAGAGATGAAAGATAATTTACACAAAGATCTTGCGGCCAAGTTATTAGCGACTGATAATGTAATCAAACAAACAATTGCACAGATCTTCCGCTCAAAAGTGTGTTTCTACTTACTTGTCCTTGAAATCATTTTCTCATTGATCATCTTTCATAGACGATGATGGACTCCTTAGGTCATTCTGTATCTCAGGCAATTCAATCAACAATGGTGGCATCGTATCGTGAGACATTTAATCAGATTGTTATACCATCGTTTGAGAAAGCTGTGACAAATATGTTTCAACAGACGAATGATGTTTTCAAACGTGGCACGAAAGAATGTAGGTGTAGAGGAAAAGAATGTTTCGTAAAACTATGAAAATGAATCTGATTTTAGACTTACAAGAAATGATTGAATATGGTCGACAGCAACAACGTTCATTGATTCAACAACGTGAGCAAATGATGAGTGAGATAAGAAAAGAAACTACACAGTTGAATAAAGAATTCGAGAAGAAAAATCAAGACTTAGCAAATTCATTAAAGGTGGAAATTACTCAACATCTAACAGCTGGTCTCACACCTATGTAAGTTCTATTGAAGAGTATCATGCTCTTTGGATGCCTTTTTTTTTTTGTTTCAATAGAATTCGAGAAACTGCACGGTCGATACTACGTGATGAAGTCACGTCCACATTCCGTGATGTATTAACTGCTCAGAAGAATGAGATCAATACTATATTTCGTCAAGTCGCCACTCCAACGACATCTGCTACTCGAACGACAACACCGGCACCAACGACGACTGCTGTCGCTACTTCACCAACGGTTGCACATGCAGCAACAACAGTAACCTTATCATCATCAGATATGAAACAACAACAAGCGATAAAACTTGTACGTCTTGGCCAATACAATCAAGCATTCGAATATGTTTTATCTGCCTCGGATCTAACGCTTGTTATATATCTATGTGAAAACATTCGTCCAAACGATCTCTTCTCTATTCAACCATGTCCATTACAAACACCAGTTCTTCTCTCTTTAATTCAACAACTTGCAGTCGATTTGAATACACATCAACAATTGAAATATAGGTAATCACACTTTCCTCTTATTTCCTAATCTTCTCTTTGCTTTTTATCTCTATTCAGTTATCTCCACGAGGCGTTGACCTCATTGGATCTTTCACATCCAAGTGTTCGCGGCTTTGCACAGAATGTCTTGACTGATCTAAGTAAGAAACTGTATACATATATTCAAACGAATTCAACATCTCCAATGGCTGCACATTTTCAAATATTACTCCGAGGTAGTCAAGGTCTATTGCAAAAAATCGTTCAACAACGAGCCACGCCAATCGTCCATGCATCGCCATCAACAACCAACACAACGAAATAGAACTGCTTTTTCTTGTTTGCTGTATGTGAAACGCACACTTTCTTTCAGATGCTTTCTGCTGTGAAAAAAAAGAAGTTCCCAATAATTGTATTCATTGTTCTCAAGTTTCGTTTGTATTAGTTCTTTTTTGTTTGTTTATATAAAACCAGAAATACATTTTTTCGTAAAAACGTTTCAATTCACTTAGAAAAACCAACCAAAACTTCTTCTTTATTTTTTAAGTACTTCATGTCTGAAAGTGATGAACCAAGTCTCACACATGATATCGATTGGCCTATGCTCGATAAAAAACGCTACGTTCCATTGAATCTTCTCTCGACATTCGTCGTACGTTCATTTCTTTATCCATTTACACTCGTCCGCACACGTCTACAAGTTCAAGTTCAATCTTCAATATACCGAGGCACATGGCATGCTCTGCAGACAACCGTGCGGTATGAAGGTTTTCGATCATTGTACAAAGGCTTTCTTGTTTATAACTGCCAGTTAATACCTGGTCTGATCTATATCACAACATTCGAAGCGACACGTGCTCGTGCAAATATCTTATCAACGAATGAATACTTTCGCGCTGGTGTTGGTGGTACAGTAGCTTCTCTATGTTCTCAAGTGCTTGCTTGTCCGATTGATATTATTTCTCAACATATGCAATTAGTTGGATTGACGTCACCGGCAAAAATAACTCGAACGATAGATGGAATCTCATCCATGTCTGATACAAAACTATCCAAAGCATCGACCAGTCGTCGGCAACAACGACAAATCGAACGCATACATGTACCAAAAGAAATCCGTGCAAATAATTATTTGATCTTTAAACACATCTGTCGAACGTTGCTATATGAACAAAATCCAGAGACAAACGCAAAGCCACGACCTAGCCTGAAAGGTTTCTATCGTGGTTATGTAATATCGACATTTTTGTTCAGTTTAACAAGTGCCATCTGGTGGCCATCGTATTACTTCTATCAACGACAGATGCTTCAAATAGAAAAAATCTTTCGTAAGTGAATCGACAGAATCATTTAAATAACGGACGAATGCTTTTCCTTTAGCGTCCCTATTTCCTTTACCCGTACTGGCAATTCAATGTATTGCTGGACCATTATCATCACTTACATCGACGATATTGACGAATCCCTTAGATGTATGTCGAACTCGTATTCAAGTCGAACAAGAACGTCGACGAGTAGCACAAATCATGTACGAACTATGGCAAGAAGAACGTTTTGGTGTATTTACCAAAGGTCTAACAGCACGTCTATCACATTCCTGTGTCTATTCCTTATTTATTATCTTCGGTTATGAAACAGTCAAGCGTATATCATTGAAAGAAGAATATCGAGGACTTGTGCGATGGTAGCACCTTCTTTTCCTACATTCCGCCTCTAGCAAATTCATTCTTGGTGCTTTCATTTTAATTCACCCACAATGCTTCCCTCTAGTTCTAATGATCTTCTTTTCTGCGATGATTGTCTTGTATTTATGCGTGTTTTTTCTTTCTTTTGTACAAAAATCCGTTGACAATAAAATGGCTCGGAATCAAATCGAACTGCAAGAAATACACGTGTTTCTCGATTGTTGTTGAGACTACGAAAAGAAATTTCTCGATATAATCGACTCTCAATTAGAAATTCTCTACCAAGTTTTATTTCATCGTTAAACGATGGAGCTTTAGTCAATTGTATTGAACATTCGAAAAAATTTGTTGCTTGAATTCGATCGCGTGCCGACGAACAAATAATCAATATAAAACAGAAAGTTTGATTTATGAAAGAGTGAATGGCAACACTTCTCGTTCTCCTCAATACTCGCGTAACTAAAGAATTCTCTCTTTTCTTCTTCTTGCTTCTATTGACGATCGCTGTTTTCTGTTTTTCTCCTACTTTTAAATCATAGAATAACATTTTCTTGCTTTCATTGCCGTTTTTACGTTTACCATTGTGAAGGTGTATATTCATCATCATGGAAGAAGAAGAAGAAGCAGGACAACAGCAACAACAGCAGCAGCAGCAACAAGTCAATGAAAATTTACCAACAGAACAAACGCGTTGGATTGCGGGAACGATATTAGTTGAAAAAATCGAAGACCTTTATGATTTAGATGGTTTAATTAACCAGTAAAAGTGTTATTCTTGTCTTCTGAATGAATATCATATGTTTTTCTATGTAGCGGAGAATTCGCTGATGTATATAAATGTCGATTGAAGAACCGGCAAACCATTCGAGTAGTAAAATGCATTCCAAAACGTGTAAGTGATGCGAAAAAAGATCGTGATTGAATCGATTCGATGACGATTTCGAATAGGGAAGTCGAAGAACTCCGCTTAAAAATGCTTCACATGTTTTACAACTTGATCATCCAAATCTGGTACGAGATTTTTATCCGTGCGCGAATAAACTATTTTCTCTTTTTCCATAAAAGGTTGTTCTTCGAGAAATTCTCGAATCACAAACACATATTTACATCGTTCAAGACTACATCAATGGACCGAATCTATTTCAAAAGTACGCGAAATCAATCGGTAGAATATGTATTTGATCGATATTCTCTAGAATTGCTCGAATGGAAGTTTATACAGAACATGATCTATCGAAATACTGTTCACAAATCTTGAAAGGACTTGAGGTAAAACAGAGATGCTTTGTCTCGTCTATTTAGCAATGTCTGTCATTTTCAATAGTATCTGCATGAACATAAAGTTCATCATGGAAAACTTCATGGTGAGAATATTATCATTCGTGAAGAGGAAAAAGAATCGAAATTGTGTCTTGTCGACTATGCTTATGCTAATATATGTACACGTGATGCAATCAATCTACTTGTTAATGCAACACCAAGCTTTTGTGGTATGAAATGAACAATCGAATTGAAAGATGTATGTTTTGGTTGTTATAGCTCCTGAGATCTTACGTGGAGAACCGTATAGTCCATCATCGGATATGTGGCAGTTAGGAATTTTGATTTATTTTTGGTAAGTTCTGACCGAGTTCGATGTCAATTTCCTATGATTTTATTTAGTTTTACTGCTAAGTATCCATTTCATGGCACACAAAAAGAGATCTTTCAGAAGATTCTCAAAGGTGCCATTGAGTATGACGCACCTGAATGGGAACATGTATCAGTGAATGGCAAAGTATGTTTGATTGTTTAAAATATTTTTAGCACTGGATTGCGTTATTTTCTTAGAGTTTCGTTAATAAACTTTTGAAAGTCAACGTTCGTGATCGCCTTACTGTCAATCAAGCCTTTTCTCAACCGTGGATTCGCGAGAAAGTTTACCGTTCTGATACATTGTCTGAAGCTCAAGCGAAGATTGCTGCTACTCTACCTGTAGTTCCCGAGATACAACCAAACGATCCCGATGCGGAAAACGAAGATAACGACACAGAGATTAACGAAAATTAAACTCCTAAGAACTTTGCTTTTCTTTTTTTGAAATAAAAAACAAAACAAAACTATCCATCGAGTTCATACTGCAGCAGACGGTCGGCGGAATAGTTTTCGGTTCATATGTATATGTGTGCGCCGGTCGATCGATCCGTTTTGATATCGATCTAATTGTTGATAGATAAGTTTAACGACGATGAATAACGGAATGACAGATAAGATAAGTAAAAAAAGGTAACCAGCGGCCGGTAAACCAAGTTTCTCCATCCATCGTTTCTTACTGCTTTTAACTACGATCGAAGAATCCAATGCCAATGGATTGGCTTGAATACAACTACAAATTTAGGAAAAAACGGATTTATATAGCATACGAAGATTGAATTTACTAGCAGCTGATATGCGACCGCGGACTTTGACAATTGTAACAGCTCAATGCCACTGTTGTTTGTTCATTAAGACAAAGAGTGCCGCACGATGGGTCATATTGACAAAGGTGAAAACATGTGCTCATCGGAAGACCCTCCGATTGGAAAGAATGATTATGAACCATTAACGATGACGAGATATAACATTGATTGCAATGTTCAGGAGTATGTAGAGAATGAAGACACTGGAAATCTCGAAGACAATGTGAATGATTAATAAGTTGTGGTATTAGTTGAGTGAGATGGAATAGTGGTGGATAAAACTGGCCTTGATGACAATGACGCACAGAACAAGTATCATTATGTCGTAATAATGATACTATAGAAAGAAAAAGTTCATTCGGTGTAGAGTAGCAAACACATAGAGACGAGTATTTTTTGCTGGAACTTCGAAGTACTTCACCTACAAACAGAAAGAGAAACAGTTTGGATCATTGCTTTCGAAACGATCACACGCGTATTTACTATGTAGATCATTGAAAGTCATAAATACGATGATAATCCGAAGAAAGACGGTATTCTTCATACTTGACAATTGTTGAATGCTGATGATGATGATGTTGCCCCTTACTTATATGTAGGATTGAAGACGGATGATAATGATCTATCGTTCAGTAGCCCTTCGAGAATCATTGAACGAGTGATCCTCTTTGATCACAATCATATTTCTACAACAATTCTTTGGAGAAAGATCTATCACACAAAAGAAATATAAACGCTTTGTTGACGTTGATTGCATTGAGAAATTGAGTTTTGCCTCGCAGTAGCTTCAGACAAGCAATAAGAGTCTAAATATTCTTCTCATTTTTGTTTATTACAAAACAAAGACACGACTTGAAATATAAGAGATCTATTCGTGTGGTCGAACAATGAAAAAAGGCCAATAGCATGCATTAAATAAGGAAAAAAGAACGGGAAAACAAAGACGTGACCAGCGATCGATATCATTCACATCTTCAACATGTAAAAATGGCTGACTGAAACATCGTGTATGAGTCCGAAGGTATCTTAGAAAACGTCGTGTTCGATGCGGATGTGAGTGGCGCATATACGTTGATGGGTTGATAGCTGGATTGCCTCTTACTAACGATCGTAAACGTGGATACTGCGTGACAATAGTATGATTACTGTGACAATGCTCATCACGCGTTGTCGAAGGTGTTCTTCTTCGTCTTCTACGATGATTCTCAGAAGGATTTGTACGTAAACCAATAATAGGTGAAGCCCGATTAATGGCGATTTCTTCTAATTCATAACCATCCTAAATATAGACTCATGCAATGTACCAAAGCTTTTGTGAATTGAATTCACATACCTGGGCTTCCTTTTGCATCTTGGCTATTTCATTCGCTGCTTTTCTTCGTTTTGCTCGACTACCCCAGTAGAGATAGTTAACAGCGGCATATTCCAAAAGCGCAGAAAAGACAAAGACAAAACAGGTTACTAGGTAAATATCTATTGCTTTAACGTATGAAATGCGTGGCAGTGACGACCGAACACCAGTTGATATAGTTGTCATCGTCAGAACAGTTGTAATACCTTAAAACAGAAGAAGATCGATTTTATTTTGACTTGTGTACAAAATTTGATTTCACCTAATGCAACGCGCGCACTAGTGGCTTCGTGATTTATCCAAAAACTAACCCAAGATAACACGACGATGAGAATTGATGGGAGATATGTTTGAAATAGAAAATAACCGATATTACGTTGAAGAACAAAGCTCAGCGAAAGACGTTGATAGGTACCTTGAACACAAATATTCTCTCTATGCTCTCATCAAGGACTTTTTCTGTACCTGTAGCTAAGTATATGCTATACGATATGGTATCATAGCCGAGAATCGTAAATTGTGGTAATTGAACTTTATCGAGATCTAGAATTGATGAACGGCCACTTTTCCAACGCATAATGACGTCAGCTTGCGTGTATCCGTATGATTCCACTTCGACGGTACAATTTTGTCGATCGAGTGGATATCGTCGAAGATCCATCATGCATGCTAATGTACTTGTAAATCTCATTCCATAGAGAATATCTCCGTTGCCATTAATACGGATCATCTTATTCTTTTCTGTCACATCGTGCAAGTAGGCACTTTTGTCATTGGGAAAAAACGTATCGGGTAGCCAAAATTTATCGATGATTTCACCGGTTAAAGTTATTTCTTCACTTGTATTCCCGAATACAAGACGATCATCACGCCAATATTGATTTAAATACAGCGTTAATGTGTAATCCATATTGACTTCGGATATACTGTCAAAACTTGCTAAACGGATTTCAATATCTAGAGAAAGTGGTTCACCTGAAGCAGACCGGTTATTCGAGCATTGAAAAGACAATCGAAACTCACCTCCAAATGAAGGCCGCAAACGAATGTCGTATTCTTTCAGCAGATCATTAATAGCAACTGTAGCATCTTTCAAACGGCTGGGAGTCATTCGTTGCGAACTTCTATTTATGAAAAAAAAAAACAATACACAGTAATCGGTTCTTTAACTATTAAATTGCAACTTGATACTATTTTCGAACAGTTGGAAGGACAACATCACTTGTAAGTTGTATTATTACTTCCTTATTAGAATATAGGACGATCGATTCGATCCAATAAACATTCGATCATGCGAGCAGACATGTAATGCCTAGGGGTAATTCAATTTAGATTTTTTTCCTGCTACTTGATAGAGTTTCTCCTCATATCAAATTCGATTCTCTTATGATTGGCTCAAACATTATGTATGATAGTGATGATGAGACTTAACTCAACATAGAACATGGTAAATAATCTCTTAGACTGGATGCCTTCTTTATACTTGGTGGATGCCGAAAATTAAGATAAAATTTTGAATGTCAACATACCGCTGAACGATGATTGTGTAGAGCAGTTGAATCATAAGATAAAGTCGGATGTGTTGATACCGAGAAAACATAATCGAAAGATAAACGACGGCATCGGACGGGTTCAAACAAACTGTTTGATCATCGACAACGACAAGATCAGATGTTGTATATTGTTCCAGCGGACAGAAGTTGGTTAGTTGTAAACGAGCAGATCGTAGATTTGACAGTTTGGCACAACGACAAGCATATTTCTCCACAATTCCAAAACTAATCCATCCTATTCCTCTATATCTCTCATTCGTTCTCTGCCAGGTTTACATATTTATCTCTTCTTCTTCTTCTTCTCTAGTAGTTTCCATAAGTGACAGCGAAGAGAGACAGCGAGAAAAAAAAAAGAAGCTAATCAAATATATCAAATTTAGTCTCTCTTTCTTGACTGCTTCACCAATACATTCGAAAGAGAGTTTTTCCTTCTGCACACTCATCGGTTTCATATGAGATTATGTAGATCAGCAAACTTTTCATCTTCTGTGCTGAATTCACAACTAACTAAAAATCTTCAATATAGGAGATCGCTAATGTTGCCGCTACTGTTCATATTTACAACACAGTCATCATTGAAACTTTCGCTCTTGGCAATGATCGTAATGGACTTCTCCTTTTCCTTCTGTCTCTGCTTGATAGTGTAGCGGCGCTACCAGTCAGTCTCTTGGAAAAGGCGATTTTTGATTCGCTAAAATTTCCATCGATTCACACATGTGATGACAGTCTAATCAAATATGCAAGAGAAGATAAAACGCGACATTGACTGAATAATATGGCAACACCAGTATCTGGTTTACCGATTTCATTTTCCAACGACGACGCTAAAACCAGTGTTTGTTCCAAAGCGCAATCGTCGATCAACTCCCTGGCAGCACTGGTTAAATCCATTATAAAAAATTCTCATACAAATGATCATTTGACATCCACGTTAAAACAGTTCGCCAATTGTGATCAACAGCTTTCTTCAACACAAGAACATATCAATAAAATTGAACATCTTTCTCAACAATTATTGTTCCAATCGAATGTGCTCCAACTGGACACACAAGAATTAAATCAAATCCACCAAACTTTCAACGATATGAAACTCGAGGAACACTGATTTCTATACTATTATGTAGTTGATACCGAACAAACGCCCTTCATTGTGATTCTTTTTCTTGAATATACAAATAAGATTGATGAACATTCGCTGATCGAAGACTGCACTGAAGAGTTCAATCATATTCGCGAAATTTGTACTTTTGTTTGTTTAATATTGAAAAAAAAACAACTACTGCATGATTAAATTTAAACAAAATCTATATTCTGCTGGGTTTGCGCATGCAGATGTATAAAAAACGACCAGAAAAAAAAATCATTAACAATTGCAACGAAAAATAAACGTAAAACTGAATTGGTATTGCTACTCAACAGTTCTGTGCATCACATATTAGCTTTTGTTTTGACTCAGTTTCCAGCGATGATCGTTCTCATCGTAAACTTCAATCGATTTCAGAAAACTGCGACCATCGAAACCACCGACAACATACAGTTTCTCCTGACAAACTGTTATTCCAACACCTACACGTGGAATGTGCAACTCATAGCAATGTCCATTAATGTGACTAATCCATTCATTAGTAATCGGATCAAAAATCTCGATAGATGCTAATGATGTTACACCATTTGAACCACCGACAATGAAAATTTTATTCTCGTACACGATGGCACCGCACCCACGTCGGTTTTCTCGCATCGCCGGCCCGAGTGACCATTCATTCGTAGTTAAATTCAGTATTTCGCATGAGGATAAACACCAATTCGATTGATAGCCACCAAACACGTAAAGTTTACCATTAAAATGTACGACCGCTGCTTGACTTCGTTCGTAACTCATTTCATTCAATGTTGACCATTGATTCGTGTCTGGGTCGTAACGATAACAACTACTTTTACACTTGTCGCCTTCACATCCACCGATTAAATAGATGTATGAATCATCGTTACACATTGCTAAAAGGTTCATTGAACTTGCAAAGAGGAATACGCCTAAGATTGTATTTACCTCCGTGTGCAACGGGTGTAGCAAGATCACTGATGGGTAACCATTTGTCCATTGATTGTGTATCTAAACATTCACCCGTGTTCAATTCTTTTTGTCCATCACTACCGCCACAGACATAGATTTTATTGTTGAGTATTGCAGCTGACACACGACCACGTCGACTAATCATCGGAACCGACAATAATGTCCACCTATCTTCGATAGGACTGTATTGTTCGATAGTATCTAGACAATCTCCACGATCATATCCACCTAACAAAAATAACAAATGCATATATAACCTAGTTACTCTCAAACATACCAACAGCAAATATAAAATCGTTTGTTGAAACAATTCCAAAACCGCATCGTGCTACCGAAAGTGATGCCAGATGCGAATCTTTGTCCATGATTGTCGCCGAACCATTAATACCATTTATCGCATGAAATTCATCAATACCATTCCTATCTCCATTAAGACTATCCACGGTGTCCGGTGTGTTAGGAACCGATGAAGATGCCGGTGAAACATGAATGGTTATACTTAACAATTTGCCTTTGACAATCGCAATGGCGATATAACTATGTTCTAGAACAATCGATTGCAGATTAGCGTGTGAATGATCGATGATAAGAACACACCTGTTGATTGACCGATATGAACTAATTTCGTTTCAAGTATAGGAGAGTTTGTCGAGATCTTTGCTGGTAGATTATTGTTTACTAACTGTAGGTTGGGTGTTTCAAATATCAAACTTTCACTCGGATTACTCGATGTTGATGAAACTGACGCAGTTCGTTTAGTGGATTTATAACTTTGATAATCCTAACGAATAGAAAACAATGAGAATAGCATAATAGTACAGCGATCACTTACCTTCACAGCGTCTGAATAGTAGATATTATTCTCTTCCATATCCATACAATCATGAAGAGTCTTATCGTCATTCAAATAGAGCAGATGCATCTAAAGATGGATTTTGTACATTAATTGTTCGTTTCGAAGAAAATCCGACGTACGTATTCGCCAATTTCTTGTAAAGTCTTATCCTTTCGAAGTTGCTCAACGATCCAGTTCAGTATCAGATCGCACATCAGCTGGATACTAGATATTGTATAATCTAATAGTCAATATAATTTAACGAAATAAGTCATTCATTGCATCTTACCAACCAGTTCCAACTGCAGAGATGGCAATGCATGAAATTCACGTGTTTCAAGGATAGAAAAGAAGTTATTTTGAATACAATCAGTCGCTTTCGTGCGAAGATCATCGTCCATAGCTAACAGCCGTGTACCTGAAAAGAACACATTCTAATAAGATTGATTTAAATCTGTTCGATCACATACTTAGGCAAGTGTGAATAGTCAACTGTTCTGATAGATAATTTGAACACGCTTTGACAAGTATTTCTATACGTAATTGATGTGCTGCGAAATAAACGGTTGGCACCATATCTGACGTTAATTGAAAACTGGAATCAAACACGGCATAGTTACGAAAATGATGAGATCAAAGTGGATACTAACCACCCTTGGTAGATAAATTGAATGATTAACTTTAATGCTGAATGTTCAATGCCATCAATTTGATAGTAGAGTTGTTTTTTGGATAATGGATCGGTTTCATCATTGAGAAACAGTTCGAGAAAGTAATTCGAATGACAAGATAAGAGAGCGCGATGAGCGAATAATTCGTGACCTTCCACTGTTAATATCACATCACACAACTGTCGTTCCTTACGCATAGCATCGAGGCATTTCAGAGTTTGAACTCCTGCTAGGTGTAAGTTTTCGTACTTAACATTTAACTGAACTGTTTGATTATCAATGGTTTCCAATGGTTCAATAACAACAACAACGGCTGCCGCTGTTTCGCTCATCGAAATCAATGACTTGAACTATTTGATTTGATTTCAAATTCCAATCCATGGAAAAAACAAATAAATAGTTATCAAACAAAATCTGGATCGACCAATCGTTCTGCGGAGGAATTGATCGTACGGCGCGTTTCATTGGCTGTCCAGAAATACTTGTTGATAATAATAAAAAAACTTCTATTTACTGCACATTACTTTACCATACAAAAACAATGTCCAATCTTCAAGCAGATTCTCGCGAAGCGTTCGAACGTCTTATATCCGAACAAAGTTCCTACATAGGCCAAGTCGATGAGCAGATTGCCAAATGGTCACAATTTCAAAGTGATTATCAACAGTTGCGTACTCGTCTTTCCACATTACCTGACCGGTTAACATATGACTGTACAGTACCGTTTGGCAAGCTAGCGTTTATTCCCGGTCGTGTGATTCATTCCAATGAAATTCTCGTTCTTTTGGGCGATAATTATTTCGTTGAACGTTCATGTAAACAAGCCATCGAAATAGTCGATCGTCGTCTGACAAATATTGAAGAAAATCTTCGAAAACATGAAAAAGAAAAAGAAGTGTTTCACCAACAGAAACGCTACACACATGATTTTCTCGATGACAAAACGAAATTTATTGAAATTAAAGAAACAGATGAAGAAATCAAACCGGTCAAATCAGCAATGAATCGTCGAGCGAAGTTAACCGAAGAACAGATACGAGAAGAACGCCGCCGTTTGCAAGAACGTGCTTTGAAACTGAGTGAAAAGCCAACCAAAAAAGTTCACTTCGATGATGATGATCAAATGGAAGTCGATAGCGATGACGATGATGATCACGATACTGAGATTCCCAGTGAACAATTTAAAAAAATCTTCATCCGTCATACAAAAACTACTATCGAACCTGTCGAAGACACTTCGCCTGGACTTTTCTCACATCCAGGTGCTATTGGAAGGAAATCTCCGATGGCATTCACAGGTCGAACTATCGAACGCGAGGTTTCTACACCAAATAATGAACCGCCACCAAAACGAATTTCGAAATTTCGAGCATCTCGTCAATAACCTTTTGTCTATTTTTGTTTTAGATTAGTGTGTAAATCATGTCGGATTCTTCGTTCACGATCCGTACACGAAAGTTCAAGTCGAATCGACTTTTATCACGTCGACAAATGGTTGTTGACGTTCTTCATTCAGACCGTGCATCGCTCTCCAAAAAAGATATCCGCGAAAAAGTGGCTCAACTCTACCGCACAACAGCAGATCTCGTCTTTTGTTTTGGTTTCAATACTAACTTTGGTGGTGGCAAATCGACTGGTTTTGCATTAATCTATGATACACTTGATTTTGCCAAGAAATTCGAACCACGATATCGTCTTGCACGTCAAGGTGTTGTCGAACCAAAGAAAACCGCCAGAAAACAACGTAAAGAACGTAAAAACCGTATGAAGAAAGTCCGTGGTACAAAGAAAGCCGCTGTCAAAGATGCCAAGAAGAAATAAACGGACGACGCAAGCAAACATCGTCAAAAAAACGAGTGTTCCTTGTTGCTGTGTCTGTCTCTTATTATTTTTTTGTAACATCATTCGACAAGACAAAGAAATAAAAAGAAGAAGTTGACATCGAAAGTTTTATTGCAAACAAAATAACAAAACTTTTAAAAAAATTTCCACCATGTAAATAAATGATTGTAAATTTGTTTAAATATCGACGGATAGGAACTATCCCAACAATTAACAGACGGATTATAAAATTGACTAATACGTATTAGTTTTGTTCGTGCGGTTCCCCAATCGAAATTTGGTAAACGAACGTTAGTTACATTGAATATCTTTCGAATAGTTGCCATTGCATAGTTGATTTGTTCACTTTTTTCGTCAGTTGCATGTAGATGTTGATAATGACCAAGGAAACAAAGTGTAGCATGCATATCCATCACTGGCGTTGGAGAATATTGAGTTGAGACATCATACAATTGTGTCCATTGAAGGAACTTACTAAATTCTGTCTCGTTTTGATTTAACCGGTGAAGTTCTATAGCGAGATCTTCAACAGAAGCAAAATCATCTACATGAATATATGAAAACGGTACTGCTGTACGCTGATATTGTTCTTTCTTTGCTCCTAGAACGATGGGTATAGCTTGACCGTTCGTCCCCTGCATCCAATACTTCTCAGTAATGTATGAGTCACATTTTGAATTCTCAAATGACAGGTAGAATCGATAATATGACAGGGTTTGTTGAGTACAATTTGGAGTACCTTTTTGACACTGGACTTGTGGAATTGAAGAATGGTAAATTGATTTGCAATTGCCAAATATATCGATACGGATGCCTTTTTGCGAACGTAGCTTCGCGACATATTCTTCTCGGCGAGAATGTGTGTTGCAATTGGATACAAACCAAGCAATATAAACAATATCGCGATTCGAACTACGAGATGTACTCAGATTCAAATACGGTTGAAGAAGTTGAAGTGCATGGAATGGAATTGGCTGATTGCATGTATAAGGACAAAGTTTTAAGAGAAGGTTTTGACGTGTAACCAATTCTGAGTGAAGAATAGAAGTGATTGTATTCAGGTAGACTGAAGATGAATTTGTGCATGTATCTGATGTCGGAAAGATCGATTGAGTAAGATTAATTTTGAATTTACTTTGTAGAAGATCGCCTATTTCAGGTTTGATGCGATAACCCTAAGAAGAAAGAGCACGTTTTGTATATAGGACGTTTTTGTTGTAATGATCTATTATGCAAATAGCAACGATAATTGATTCACGGTTATTAAAAAATCGAGACAAAGAACAAATACATACGCGATATTGAATATGGAAATCCGAATCTGCACTGAAGGTTGATGTTAAATTAAACCAATTATCAAGCTCAGTCAGATTCTTCACTTCGGCTGTGCGGTATGAATTTCGTGGCGATTCTTCGGAGTGAAAGATCCATAGTTGCGACGGATGCAGATGTCGATATGACGGAGGAAATCGAGCGAAGTCGACAATATTCATAAAAACACTATCAGCAAGTGGATAATCCTCCGGATTTAATACTTCACATATTTTCAGTAAATTCTCACTGAAAATTTTTGATGTCGAATCTGTACGCACTCCATATGACGTTGTATAATGTGCAATGAACACCTTTTTGAATGTCGGATTGGATTTTAGTGTCAACCGATGGTTGAGACTATATTGAGGTACAAACGTTATTTGACGTTTTATCAACGAATTTTGATAGAAGATAAAAATACTTATAAGGACGACTAGAGTTAGTAAGATTGCTTTTCGTGTTAGAGTTAAAGAGCTACGAATCGTCATCACTTCGCCATTGTACTAAAGGGTAATAATAAAAAATGAAGTTTTATTAAATGATTAAATATTTGAAATCGAAATTGGTATAAAGAAAACAAGTATTGTTACATCGCGCACATTGACCCATGCAAGTAGTACTACCAAATCGAACACATAGGAGAAAAGTACGAACGACGCACAGATTTTTTCTTCGTCCTTCTTTTTCTTTCTTTCTTTCTTTTTTGCGAACGTTGACAGTAGGTCTGAAGAACGACAAAACATAAAGAACGCATTTTTCTTTGTAGTAGTACATGAAAAACACAAGTAAGAAGTTCTTTTTGTTTTCACACCCTCGTGTGGAAGATAACCAACTTTGAGTTGATGGAGAAGACAAATTCGCATTTCAACATGGTATAGTACTTTTTTTACGAAATTCATGCTTAATATTTCATTGGTTTCGGTTAGCATATGCAGAAAAAATAATACTGGGAATTTTCCCAGTGTACTCTGTATATAAATTTATGGAATACATCTGCATCATTATCAGAAGAAAACAGATGAAATACAGTTACTAGCAGATTGTGAAAATTTATTTAAGCAATACTAGGACTGGCGGGAACAATTATCGTCGAACGTATGCCTTAGCTTTTCATTCGTCGGTTAAAAGTATGTCAAACACATTTTTTTCTTTTCCTGACTATTTGTCCAAAAGAAATGCCAAATAAACCGATTCCTTTTTTCTTAGAGTACAAACCTTGAGCCAAGAGCTTTACCGATTAAATATGGTCGTTCGTCGTGCAAAAAGAACACGCACTTTTTTTGAACTGCCACCTGAAGAAAGATTTTTGTACGTTTTAGATTATTTGAATATGACTGAACAAGTAATTACTGATACTCCAGTCCAGCCAACTGGTTCCGATAATACAGAAAACCTAGGTTCATTGACGCAGGAGACCAAATCTAAAGAAGTAACTGCAAATCCAAACTTTATCACTTGGAAATTTCCTCCCTATTGCGAACTTTGCAATGTGACTTTTCCTTCCGAAGCCAATTCTAAAATTCATTTCGAGAATAACGGTCACAAGAACAAACTTCACACGTGGGAGAAATACCAAGAACCTAAAGCATCATCGGATGAGAAAAACTCCAAGACTGTTCTTTGTGATGTTTGCTGGAAAGAAATGAATACACAAGCAATTCTAGATGTGCACTTGAAAAGTCCAGCTCATTTGAAACTAGCCCAAACACGTTTAGTTATACAAAAATTAAAAGAAGACTATAGACAAATAAAGGAATCACAAGAAAATGAGTAAATCGTGATTGTTCTTTTATAATAGACTGTTATGCTGTTTTAAACTCATTCGCGGGTTTGGCTTTGGTGTATTTTTCAATAAAGGAGATGTTTTCAAATAAATTGATGACGATTTCTTTTGATTATAGTAATCGGCAGGTATTCGGAGAGGCGATGTTGAATGCGAAGGTTTTTTCAGGATTGGTTTCGGTGTAATGGAATCTTTTGAACGTGATCGATGTGATGATGTATGAACTAACGGTCGTTTTAGTTCATCTTCTGCCAATTGAGTCTGAGAAACAGATGTGATGAAAACATTGGAAAAGCTCAGTGAAGACGAAGAGTTGTTGTTATTCACTTGTTTAGATTTTGGCGGAAGAGCTGGCACTTCCGTGTATAATTTTAGGTTCGAATGGTCATCGAAAGATTTCTCCGAAGACGAACGTTCGACACCTAATCAAGAAAATAATTCAATAATAGAGATTTGAGGGTGTTGATTGAACATACCTGAATCATGATCATTCTCATCTTCTCGCATGGGTTTTCGTCGAGCTTTGATTGTTGGTGTTTTCTTAGGCGGTACCACAGATAGCTGAAACTTTTCTTGAACTGTCGATGTAGTCGCTTTTCGGTTTGAAGGATGATATTTCAAACGTAATAGATCCGGTTCACTTTCGTCCGTCTCAGTTTTTTCTGTTCTTTCCGAAATCGACGATAATTTCCTTGAAACAAATTGTCTTTCATAATACTCGGCTAGATCTTTATTATTCAAGAACGATGGTACAATCGACGTCGTACCGTTTTCATGCGAAGATTTATGATATTCATTGGATTGTAAACGTCGTTGTTCAATATGTCGGTCATCATTATCATCATCATAGTCGACTTTTCTTGGTGGAAGGACTTGTTTTCGCGGTGAAGAGTCTAAACTAGTCGATGGGCGCGAAATAGACGAATTATACATCGGTGGACTTTGTTGACTTCGATAATGCATACACAGAAATGAATAGAAGAAAAGTACAATGAAAAACTTGATTAAACTAAAAAATAACAACACGTATGCTAACGCGTCCATGCACGAATCGAGAAAATATAATGTACGATTGAGACAGCCAACGCTAAACATGTTACAACTTGATGGAACATTATTTTGATACCCCAAACGCCCGTCAGCGCCGCAACAACGAAATGTGTATTGAAGAATATCTAAAGCTCGTTTCGCACGTTCATCAGTGCCTTGTCGATAAGTAATTACTGAAAAAGAGCGAAAGCTAGGCGATTATTCAATTAAAACTCTCTTTGACAATTCTCACCTAATTTCGGTAATTGTTCAATTAATGTCACTCGTGATTGATATTTGTTTGAAAACGTTAGAATTGAAATCGTAAATTCCCCGATAGCAATGACAACAATCATCGTCGAAGCGATAAATAGAAATGCATGTGTTGAACATAAGCCCCACACTAAAACTAAGCACATGACTAAGGTAATAATCGACGAAGCAAATAAACCAAGGGATAAGTATCTTAATATCCATAAATCCTAAAGTTACAAGAGAACAAAAATACAAAGACAGTCGCTTGTTCTATTAATTACCATGTACCCCACATCTGCGAGATTATAAGCTAAACTTCGATAGCGCGGATCAAGGACCGTCCATAATGCCAAACCCAATTCAATGAAGCCAAGTACACACAGTAGTAGAACAGCTAATTTACTGCAAAATTTGAACGTCGATTTACTCATTTTGAATCTGATTTCATCATCTAAAAGAAAGGCTAAACTCGTCTGATAAATATAAATAGAGTATCTAATTCTTTGTCTCATCGAGATAATTACTTGTAAACTCTCTAATTTCTCTAGTAAAAGATTCGAACTTCTAATGTTTGTTTTTTCATTCGTTCGTTTATTTAAAATTACAGACGACACACATATGACTAGTTGAGATTATTTTCCCCTAATTAAAACATAACTAAACTCTCACTCGATAGTGAATTCTCATTTAACAATCCCTTGGAGAAAACTAATATTACTAATAAACGTCCCTATATTTTATTTTTATCATCAACATATGTCAACGAAGAGTTTTTGAGTATAAAATAACGCAGAGCATGCTGGTACGAATGTCTTTTTTTATTCTGTTTTATCATGATCAATTGACTCCGCAAGTTGTCAATTTATTCATCGGAATCAATAAATCACTAATGCTCGCAAAGGAAAGTCTTTTTTTTTTCGATCAGTCACTAGATTCCATATTCACAATAAAAATCTTGTCTTACCTTCCAGCACCCATACGATTGATTGAATTCTTCAACACATCGAACATTTTATTTCTCATACAAAAAAAAAAACACTACTTCAATTGTTTTTCTATGGTACGAACGAAGAAAAAAGAAACTGCCTTTCTGTCATTCGATGTTCTTACAGCAACGATTGGTTCGGTGTATGTATATATGTAAAGTCAACATCTACATATCCCATGCTTAATATCAAAATCTGTATATGTGATTGTGATTAGAAGTGTTAATTTTTTCTCTCAGCAACCTTCAATGTCGACCTATCAACGGACTCGAAAATAGCATAACCTTGAAGTCGAAGCTGAGAGAAGAGAGAAAATAATAAAAATACGGCGACATACATCATATTTCGTTGGTATTTATTTACTACCTATTTGACCTCTAAACAAACTCTATATAGCAGAGCGAAAGAACCGGTTACACGCCGTGTCATTTCTACCTAATAATTATTGTTCAATGATTAAGATATACACGAAACATCATGAAATAATTGTATACTCACACTTCTTTTTTTCTTTTTCTTCTTCTTCTTTCCTTCTCGTATTTGTTTGCCTATATTTCTCATTTGGCATATACAAATTCGGCCTGTTCTTCGATACTTTACTTTTTCTTTCAATGTCATATGTTCATGTCGACAATCAAATATTCAATTCACTCATTCTGCCTCAATTTTTTGCTTTCTATTAACGAAAAAAAAAACGAACTCAATCGATACGATTGGCGGCATGCGGGTGTTACATTTTTTCTCTCTCGGTTGCAGTTCAAAAATGAATTGTCATGATCGCAGGATCCTGTTTTGGCATTTGCCTCTTCTTTTTTTTTATCTGCTAATACAAAAGAACGTATAATTAATTAATTGTGCAGTCTATGACAAAATTAACTAGGTGGATCTTTTATCGAAATCTATTTTCTCGATAAATAATTGATCAGTTGCTAAATATAGAGATAATGTATTCATACATATGTCGAAAAGCATTATTTACAGAATAATATATGAATGTGAATGGTGACAATCAAATTCTATGTAAAAATAGCACTGGCTTTATGTGTAATAATCAAACAATGACACTTGTTAAACTTTTTCTCGTTCCTTATCAATTATCTTTTTTGTCTTTGTCTCTTTTCTTCAACGGAACGAACGTGTTATCGAAAGTTTTTCGTGTCGTCATTTCATTGCACGTCTTCTTCGACTTGAGTTCATGGATTTATCAACAGCAAGACTTGATACCATCGAGGATTTCACAGCTGATAGAAGTAATAGCGATTTTGATATGTCAAGCGAAGAACTTCGAAAGCAAATCTCAGAATTAACTGAACAATTGAATGAAAGTACTCGTAATGAATATTGTAAGCAAGTCAGGTTGGAAAAAACGAGATTTATTTAGGTAGAACAGCGGAGAAACGTGCGATCAATGAACGAGAGAAGTACTTACAAATGTACAATCGTACAAATGAACGTTTTGTTCAATTTGAGCGAAAACAACTAGATCAAATGCGTCGAATATTAAGTATCCTGACACCAAATCAACATAAGACCCTCGCGAGTAATTATTGACTCAATTAATTTCATCGCCATCATTCATTCGTTTGATTTTAGTCAATCAGGATGAATATCAACGTCCCCGAAGAGCTTTCACTAGTCCTTCGACATCGATCTTGTTACCATCGACATTAGACGGCTCGGGAGATGAATCGAATATAAGGATGCATTTGACTAAGACCGAAAGTGAATGGAATGATTTACTTGCACAGGTGAAGTTCACTTCCTCGAGTGTATTGTGAGTAGACCGTTTCTTTCTTCTCTTCAGATATCAAAAATCATGGAATTTTCGGAAAAATTCGCGGACAAATACGCTCAAAAGAGCGAAGAGAATACGAAACTACGTCTGTTGAATAATCAAAAACAAGATGAAAATGTGAAATTACTCTTCGATCTATCTGTTGCCAAAGCTGAATACGAAAAAGAACAACACAAACGTACACAATACGAACAACAATTGAGCGAAGCGAACAAAGTCATCGAACAAGTAATGAAAACTTTCATCTAATTAACTTTGAGTGAATCGAAAAATCTCTTTCTAGGATCGCTCGAAACGTTTACAAAAATTGAGAAATTACGCATCCTTAGCCGACGACGAAGGCGATATTCTGGTATGTCATCAAACGAAGTCATTCTTTGCAAAAAAAAAAGATTCCTTTTACTTGATTAACATTCATCGTTGGTACAACGTACGAGTTGTAGATAAAGAAACAAACGTTTGTTTCGGCACGATGAATAACATTGGCCGATGCTATTCTCTTGTGTAATATGTCCGATGAAATCATACTGATAATGAAGTTCTCGACTAAACATTGATATTTCCATTGCATTTTAGTTATCAAGTTTAATGAAGAAAGCGGAAAAGAACGATATGGATTTTCGTGAGATCAAGTTGCAGTATGAAAATGTCTTCATTGAGCAAGTCAAACAAATAAAGAAACTTGTCAAAGAACGTGAAATCTCACATTTATACATTCAACGATTGCAAGCCGAAAATGTTCTTCTCGCATCGCGTACAACTGAAGATGAAACAGTGAAATTGTTAACTCAATCGTCACAATCACCGCAGTCTTATGAAGTATAACCATAAACTTGATCTTTTTCCGAAAGACAACTTTATTGCTCTTTTTTTTAGGAAGCTTGCAGTTTGATCATTCGATTGCGTGAGCAAATTATCGAACAAATTAAACAACAAGATAGATTTCGAAGTGATCTTCAACAGTTACAACAACATCACAAAACGGACATGCGCGAACGCGAACAGATCGAAGAATTACTCAATCGAGACTTAGCTGCAGCGAAAGATGAAATTCGTAATAGATCAAATCGAAAGTTTTTGATTATTATTCGTTTTTCTTATGTAGTTGTGTTGCAAAGTATTCGAACTGAGTACGATCGAATCATAGGATTCAAAAAAGATCTGGAAGTACAGTTGGAGGACTGTGTAAATGAACTGCGAACAACAAAAACAATGGCCAATTCATTAACAAATCAACTAAAAGAAAAAATGGAACAAATTAGTGCAGAGAAGGTTGAAAAGAATCATTTGTATAAGATTCGATTTTCTTGTGGTTTAGGATAAGCTTAGTGAGGATAATGCAGGACTACGTGTTCAATTACAAAAGCTGAAGATCGATTTCGAAAATAGCGAATCTGTACAACATGATTTCGTTAAACTTTCTCAAGCTTTACAAGTCTGCCTGGAAAAAACTTTTCGATTTTATATGGAGAGAGGCTTTATTTTTTTTCTCAGGTTCAATTAGAAGAATTAAGAAATTCAGAAAATGAGTTGCGCTGGCAACCAGAAGAAGATTATACGGAGTGCCAACGTTGTCGTCAGCAATTCTCGGTCACTTGGAGAAAACATCATTGTCGTGAGTTTTCCTAATTCTTCATTATCGTACACTTTTACTTGTCGTTTCAGGTCATTGCGGTAAGTTCAGATGAAACATGTCGATTCAGTGAAAATATCAATCTGTTTCAGGCAAAGTTTTATGTAAAGATTGTACGAGTAAAACCATCTATACTGGTCCTAACAATCGACCATCACGTGTTTGTGATGTTTGCTACACTTTATTGGATAAATCTGTTCAACCGTATTTTCTTAGCGGTGTGCCGAAATATTGATGTATTCAAGTGGTACGAGTTTTCTTACAAATACATTTTAGTGACCGTGTTTTTTTGAAACTTATTAGGAAGATAACGAAGTACTGATTAAATCGTTTTTATCAAGATATGTTTTATGTCCTGCGGATTGATAATAGTAAAAGAGAATGTTGAAAAGTGTGTTAATGAAGAAAGGCAAGTCTAGAATAGAAATGGCTTCCAATAAGACATAACAAACAAAATCTTTTATATTGAATAAACAGAAAAACAAAAGTTCATCTTGCAAGCCCTGACAAAGGCTAAGTTAAATGATAACTTCCATGTATTAGGATACATCATTGTCACAAGATGAAGACGTTACACAAACACATATTTATACGAGTAGACATATGACGAACGAAGAAAGAAAAATAAATTTGTACAGATGTTGAGAATTTGACGAATTGAAAGTGAATATTCATTTATTATTTGGGTTTATGGGATGAACAAACTGAATCTACGTATAGATAAAGTCAAACTGACGAGCTCATTTGATCAGAAAAAGAAACGTACACTCGAGAAACAATTCAAGATCAACAACAACAACAATAACGAAATAGAAGAGTTTTGTTTAAAAGAAGAGAAATTGATAGAATCTGACGACATTTTGTCTTTATTTCTTTCGACGTGTTTTTCGAGTTGGAGGTTCAATAGCAGTACTGACCGTTGATTTAGCTTCAGCTTCTTTCTGTTCTAAAAATAATACCCACACGGTCAACGAAATGATGGTCAGTAGGGTTTACCTTTGAGCAAATTCGTCTCGATTTTGATAAGCAACGCAACAAGATCGGCTTTTCGAGCACCTTTGGGCAAAGTTTCATGATGAGCAGTTAAACGCGTTTTGAGCTCGGCAACAGTTAATCCTTCAATCTAATAAATATTGATGATAAACACCTGATTATTTCAATTGAGAATTGAATCAGACCTTTTCTCGTTCTTCTTGACTCAATTCAATCGATGCTATTTCTATGGGAGCAGCAAGCGTATGAACTGTTTCTTCTTCATCAGCTGTATTCAATCCTTCGTCTTGTTCAACACTGTGCAATCGACGTTTGCTCTTTTTACTTGCTGAAGTGGGATGTTTACGTTTACTAGTAGTTTCAACCGGACTTGATTCTGATGGACCTTTTTTCGTTTTTTTCGTTGAAGATGATGGCTCAGTTGATTCGGTCGGTGATGCCGATTTCAGATTCACATTCGTCATAACAGGAGTTTTGGAACGAGCACGTGTTGACGGCACTTCGGGTGATGGAACTATACGACATATAAACAATATTCAAAACGACGTCAGTTTCTTTCAATTACCTGGAGCAAGTGGCTTGGTTTCATTGGTTTTTGTTGTAGTTTTGGCTCGTTTCATGGCTTGTTCAGGTGGACTTATTGTTTCTGGTGGAGATGTGGTCGATGTTTTAGGATTTGCTCGTTTTCGGCCAGCACGTTTTGCTGTAGGTGGTGGAGATGGACTTACAACGATAATTTCTGGTTCGACTTCGGATAGTTCTTTAACAGGTGACGATGGTTTTTCCTTACGACCCGATCGTTTCGATGATTTTTTCTTTGTATGTGCTGTTGATGGTACATCCGGTTCGTTGGATTTTGTTGTTTGTTCATTATTTTGTGACTCTTTTAAATGCTGATGACGAGTTGTTCGAAGTACTGGTGATTCATTCTAAATGGAAATAAGAATTTCAAACCAATTCAAAATGCAGATGAGCGATTCTAACCGTTTCTTCTGAACTATCATCTGTTTTTGTCGATGGAGCAGACACTTTTTTCTTTTTCGACGTGGCGATTTTCTTTTTCGCTTTGATGGATTCATCTTCGGTATCCTCTTCACGTTCATTATCCGATGGAATCGGGTTGATCGGATCAATAACTATATCTAGTTTCACCTGACGTCGTTGTTCTTCTTCTAACTTTTCTTTGGCAGCTAAACGAGCATCAGTTGAAGGTGTAAATTGAAAGCGAACGTTTCGTCTTAAATGTACAATGGCTTTGCTATGCAATGGTGTGACTTGCTGCTGTTGTTGTTGTTGTTCTTCACGTTCCTCTATGATCATACTCGATACTACTGATGGTACATGGGGCGCCATTGGACTTGTTTGTTTAATTTGAATAGGAATCGGAGTCGTTTGGCAACTTGCCGATGAAGATGAACGCTTCGCAATCGGTGTCGTTTGCTGTTCCATTGCTTGAAAACAACGCCGAGATAATGGATTCAGGCTTGGTGTAGTTTGAGCACTGACATCGATTCGACGAGGTGGTTGGATTGGAGACGTTTGAATACCTTCCTCGGCAACCTGATAAACAGGAATGTCTACTTGTTGTTCGTTATCGAGCATTTCAACATCTTCTGCAGTTAAGTCAATTTGTAAATGCTGTGGCACTGTCGTTGAAAGTTGCTCTTGTTCACCAAGTGAAACCATTTGCAACGATTTACTTCTAGTTGATGGTGTGGACGAATGGAGAGGATTAATACTACGGCGAGGTGATAGAGCTGACGATAAACATTCACTTTGACGAATAGTGATCACTGGCGTAGGGTTTGGTGATGGTGAAGCCGAGCCTGCTAGAGATTTTTGTAGGATCATCGGTGGTGCTTCGCTCATAGTTGTTGGATTCGTAGAAAGAGTTGTTAACAAAATTTTAGATTCTGATAATGGTATAGAATAAGTGCTAAGATCTTGTTCTTCTTCGCTATTGGTAACTTGTTGTTCAGGTATGGGAGGAATTAATGAATGATTTGAACGTGAAGAACTTGGTCGATTGAGTAGAATGGAACGATGTTGTAAAGAGCGAGTCTTTCTTAATGCTGGACTGTCGTACGTAAACTCCCGTGATAGAACAGGCTTTTTAGCATCTGCTGGTGTGCCAATATTCACTTGAGGGGAGATAAACGATGCGCACGATGACGAAGCACTACAATCAGCTTCCTCTGCACTTGTTGTTGATGACGAATCAATCTCTTTTGTTTCAGTAAGGTTAAGAGTAATGCCAGCAGCTTGTTCTTGTTCGACTTCGTCATCTTCAGACACACTGACAACTTCGACAAGTTCAATACGAGGATAATCATCAGTAGTTTGATCTTCATTAGCAAAACATTTATCGTCGGATGTCACATCTAAATAAAGTTTTCTCTCAATTATATTGCTATTACGGTTGAGTGAATAATTCACTTGACTCATTGATTTCTTGTGTAGTAGATTTTTCAGCAACAGGATCAGTTGACATTCGACGAGTGCTTGAACGAAGCACACGGGATGTTCGTGTTGGCGATGATACAGGTACAGATGATCGCACTGTCACTTTGATTGGATCTAAGTATGGGACTTCAGAAAGAAGACTCGTTGATTCCTTCACTTACCTGATTTTGCTAATGGTGATTGAGTTTTGATCGGTTGAGATATTCTTCCACCGGCTCGGGTTTTGATCAAAGCTCGATAGGCAACATCAGTACTTGTCGGTGCACGAATCGTAATCATCGGAGGTGCTTGAACTACTGATTCATTCACAGTATCTTTCGAATTATTTGGAAAATCATTTAATTCCAAAGAAAAATCGTTCTGATCGTCGTCATCATCGTCTTCTGTGTTTGTATTATCTTTCGGCGTTTCTATTCTCTCCTCATCATCTTCATCAGTAAAATGAAACGAATCTTCAGTACATTTCGAAGTGTCAGGATTGATAACTGTTCCACATGCCGATGACGGCTCTTCGATTTCACTATTATCAACGTCAAACGGCGGTGGAATGGTAGAGTTTATACTTGGATCAGTTATACTTTCAATTGTTGGCATGACAAGAATGTTTTGGGACGATGGCAAACTACCTCCTCCACCACCTGCTGGTGCATAACTTAAATGTAATGATGCACCTGTCTGATTGATCAATTCCGTTGGGGTAACGATGGTTAGTGACAACGATTCATGATTACTTTTCGGTGAGTCTTGTGTCATAGTTGTCATCGTTAGATTTGTATTTGCTGAACCAAGACCTAAGAGATGTTCAAGAGCACGAAAAGATTCTTCCGATGGTTCGTTGGGATGACATATTGACTTCTTCGATTCTTGTCTACGGAAATTACGTTGCAATATTTTTCGATATCTTTTGACAAATTAATCATACGTACTGTGTTGAGGTGATCATAACATCGAAATTGTTTTCTTTTTCTGATTCATTCAACGATGATGGACTATTAATTGATGATTGTTGTTCAATTGTGAACGTCGATGATTTACGCATAAGGGATGGTTTTGCTGAGAGAGGTTCTTTTTCAATAATTTCATCTTCGATTTCTGGGCTATTACTTTCAATGGTAGGTAAAGTTGAACGTGTTAGATCGTGACGATGATTAGTTGACGATCTGGCTGAATTCGATTGCTGCTGTTGATCGTTGATATCATCAACGATCGTTTGTTCTGTGTACCAGACTGGTTGAAGGCTTGGCTGTCGACTATGATTTGTATCGGTTGTTGTTGTTGCAATACTTGCATTCATAGGTACTTCATCAGGTGCAAGGAGTTTCAATGGCGTTCTATTTTGTTGCAATCTTGGAAAACTTTCTTTAAAATCAAGATATGGAATCGAAGCTTTTGTCGGTGCTAAAGCCATACGATTTGCCTGTTCAATAGGTCCAAGGCTTACATCACTAAAAAAATAAAATGAATTTGTGCATATCCTAATGAACATAAACACAAAGAAATCAAACAAACCAAATGTATGGACTTGTTGTCGACAGACGCTCAAACATAATTGAGTAGTAGACAAAATTAATTGAAGAAGTTAGTCAATAGTTAACATATAAATTATTCTGAAGGAGAAAAGAAATAGGAATGAACGATCTGACACGGAATTAGGATTAATTCATTGTCCTAATGATGTGAACGAGCGGTCTTTGTATTTCGCTGACGAGATAACGACAAATCATATAGTTCAAAATGATGTCGCTATTTCGAATCGACTGTTGTCAGATGATTAACATGTTCGTTCTTCTGGGTTATAACCAATCCAGACTAACATATTTTGGTCTTTGTCTTGTATTTACTGAACTTACCTTCATCATCTCCCTTTTTGAGAAAATACGAGTGGGTGATAACGTAGGCAATGAAATTGAAAATGAATGAAAATAAAGAAATCATGTCATTAGTATAACAAGTGTTTGTTATCTATGTTATTCGCGAGTTTCGCTTAGCTCGATTGGGATTTTCTCCATCAATCGAAAGGTATAATTGGTACTTTACAATATCCGTTGTTTTTCGCTCTAGATAAATCATAGTTCGTGAGCACAAGAGTTGTACACAACGTCAACATTCCCCTACTGATCAAGTTTCAGATCTTAGATAGTCTTTCGCTACATAGACGGTATACGGTACAAGACAAGAATGTTTTAATCACTTTTATTGATAAAAAAAAACTTCTAAGAATCACAGTTTACATATAATTTACGTATGTATTAGCCTAAACAAGTAATCTGATAATTATTCGCATAATTAAAATTTGTTGCCGATAACCCATCGTTTATTATTGTTTTACTTCTTTGTTGACCTTCGTTTCGTATTCGGACGTCCTACAGATGAGGATAGGAAAATCATGACAATTGTTTCTTTTTGTATCATACCTTCGAGCAAACACTCGATGTTGGCATCACTGATGTTCATAAATAGAGCACCAAATTCCAAAGTGTCATCTATTCAAAGAGTAGAAATGAGATATTTCGTTAGAAAAGTGCAAACTCTTATCACCATTGTTCATCGCTTGCATAATTGATAAACGAGCTTTTTGACAGTGCTCTTGAAGTTGTGCTTTTCTAGAATAAGACGAAAGTCATCGCAACATTAATAAGAAAGTTTTCCTACATTTTCAATTTCATCAGTTCGGAATTGCATTGATTCATTTGTTCGAGTGTTATCACATCATCTATGACGCCTTAAATAAACCCAGGTTATTATGGCACGGTCGGTTCCGGCCGGTTAAGTTCGTTTTCCGACCATTTCCTTGCCGCCGGAAGTTCAAACATAGGTTCCAGTCATTTCCCGACCGTTTCCTGCAAACTTCGAGCTGGAAACGGTCAGGAACTGATCGAATATTTCCTGTGCAATTCCGGCCGGAATGATCGACCTGGGTTAATAGGCTCGACGACGTAGACATCTAGCTCTGCAGTGGTCAGCTGTTGATGGATTATCGATACATTCGCCTGATACCTGAAAGAGAAACAAGAACTATTTTGCAAGAATCAAGTTGTAATGTACTTACTTGAATCACGTCTTCAACTTCACCTTCGTCTTCGAGAAAAGAATTCATTTTCGACGGTGAAAGTGGTTCACATTTTATGTTGCCATCAACTAATGTCATTTTTTTATCAGCCATATGAGCAAATCGAATATCTCGATAAATCGAGTACGAAACTGGTTAGCAAGGATAGAAGGCGAATGTGTAATTGTTTTCGCTGTAATACGTTTCTTTCTATGCTTATATAGTCGCAGAACAATGCTGCCTAGGATTAAACTTCAATAACATGGAGAAACAAAAGACATTATAGTTACAATGGACGGACGTGAAGCACGTTGTACATGTTCTATCACTACGACTTGTTAGTGATGCGATAACAAATATTCAACAAGACTGGATCAACCTAAATTTACGTCAGATGTACATCATCGAACGTGGTTGGTTAGAAAAGAAATTCCCAAAAAAATAATCTATTTTGACATTGTATTTTGTTCTTTAGCTATCGATGGTATCGACGTCTTTTTATAAGAAAATAAGGTTCTTCCATTAGTGACATAAGAGGACGAGTTTGTCATCAGACATAGAACAAAAAAGGAATCAAGAAGTGTGTAGAATTTTGTTGTTTATTAATTCAACTGAATTATCAAAACACATTTGATACTAAAGGAGAGTATTGATGAAAATTGTCTGGACGATCGAATATTGGAGCAGCGTGAAGATTAATCAGGCACTCAAAATTGAAATTTCTTTATTTGATTCATACGAATGAGAAATTGGGAATACATTTGTTTTCCAACGATATAACTGGACTCATATCGAAGTATCAAGAAGTTTAATTGAAATTCATCCTGGTTGATCATTCAGCATGGTAATGGAACGAGAATTTCATCATAAGGATCTGTTTCTTCTATAATACTGTTAATGATAATATGATTGGTGATTCAAACTGGAAACATAGATGAACATTCACTCATTTGATTTGATTTGGCTTTGTATAATCTATTTTGTCGTTTCTTCATCAGCAGATTGAAAAGCACAATGAGAAAATCGACACAAACTGTCATTTCTTTCTTCGAATGACAAATATAGGAGACTCAACGATTTTCAGTGAACTTTAGATCAACTACATTGATACAATTCAATTGAACCCATCGAATACTCTCCGTGCCAGGAGAAGTAAATCCATTTGTCAGATTTCGATTTCTTTGCATAAGTTCCATTGATTTGGTTTTCTTCATCAATTGGTCTTTCTGATGGAAAAAATTTTAATTATCAAAAACCTATGAAAACTTTCTTTATCAGCAGTGTAATATGAAGACTAAATTGAAAATTCATTGAGATTTGTGGCGTCAATACCATAGTTAGTGGTCAGTCTTGGATAATTGTACGTGTTATTCTAGTAGAGTTCTAATAAAAAAATGTCTCATCGCAGAGAAATGAAACAAAATGATTATCAAGTTAAAAGATCAGCTTTAAAATGAGCAATTATATCTACGTAGACTTGATTAAAATGGATACAAATCTATTTCAAGTGCAACGAAGGTACAACTACAGCTTAGTCACACTCACCCCTCACCCTTGTTCACTGGTGTGTATATATAAGTCGTGTAATCTTCTCAACAAAGTCAGAGAGAAATCTCACACAAACGATTTCTTCTCTCGAACAGTGCTCTAAATGAGAGAAAACCATTTTACGTGACGTTTCCATAAATGTCTTAAGCAAAAAGAGACAAAATTTCGATATTAATCGCATTCATCAATTGTGTGAATCTTATGTTATATGTGCATCAAAATTGGATCAACAAAGAAGTTTATTTTATCGGCTTTTTACTGACTCAGCTTGCGGATAAACGCATTTTCAATGAACATTCGTGCGATGGCAGCGTGTCTGTATATGATTATAAGAATTCAATCATAGTCGCGTCATTGCCATGGAGATCCTCCGTTCTAAGCTTCTGAACAATAATATGATAAAAAATAATCTATCCTCGCATATGTTGAAAAATGACTGAATTTTAAAATAGAATAATGGAAAAGTAGCCACCACGCAGATGTCGCTAGTAGTTCTATTTTGACAGAATGATTGGTGCATATTTTGATTCATTCATTTCATTTGCCTAGTTTCGAATATTTCGAATAGATCGTTACGCTTTTTGATTCACACACAATACATATTCATTTGGCACATGTTGAATGTGTAATCAATCATATGTCATTTTGACTAACATATGATGCAACCTTGAATTTTTCTATATTGCATGAAATTTTCTTTATAGATTTATCCCACATTTTTTTTATCAAGTATTTAATTATTATCGAATATTTACTAGATAAATGTGAGTCATACCAACTATGAAAGGTTTTTTTCTCTATTGACTTCGTCGTTTAGATGGATACATCAAGTTATACTGGTTTACCTAACAAACTATGCCAAGGTTTAACTTCAGTAAAATCCACATTGACTACAGGCCATATTTTGGAAAAGTCTGAGATCACCCATGTAGATACTCGCGATAAATTCCATCATCATATGGCACGTAGTGTCTTAGGTATTCAAGCACCATTAAAACTTCAAACAGAATTACAAATTGCCAAGAAAATTGGTCGTTTACCGTGCCTACCAAGTTCACGATTGATGCTCGATGTTTTACGTGGTACTAATGAAGACATATCATTCGATGATATTTTAAATAATCCTCGAGAATTTGGTGAAATTCAAGTTGATCCACATTTAGCTATGGACAAACGTGATCAATTATTTTGAAACAAATCAAAACATCACATAACACTATAGAAATGTTTCTTTTCGCTTTTTTCTTTTAATGTTATGGTCATTCTTTCGGTTAAACTCGACTGACGTTTTCCTTCTTCTCGTTCTTCTTTTAGATATATATTTACTTGATAATTCACATCCATCATGCCAAAATATACAAAGAAAAGTAATTAGATATTTGTTTTCTACAGTCACAGTGTAAAATGATATTTTATTTTTCTTGCAGGTCGTCCGCCTCGGAATAAAACGACAAAATCGGGTGCTGATGATTCAGCATCGATCGACGATGGCGTTAGCACTTGTTCCAACATGTCCGATGTAACAAGCATCTATGAAGATAGCGAAGGTAAATATGTTGTCAAAAAAGCAAATCTTAGACCTCTTTATTAACACTCTTTTGTATGTTTTAGTTGGTTTTCCTTTAGGAAATGATGTAATCCTTACATCGGATTCTCTTGATGAAAAACTTGACACATCAATTGAAGGTCTTCGAAATAAAGAGTAACTTTTTGAAAAACTCCTCAAATATCATAATACTTTTTCTGAAATTTTAGTTTGAGAACACGTGAAAATTCTTTACGTACGCTTCAAACATTACTATCTCAGAAATATGTTTCTGAGTTGGTTTCTAATCGGTATGATACCAAGCATTTTGCAGTTTTTTAAGCGATTCTTCTTTATAGAATTGAAAGTTTGATGGAACAATTGATAGCATGCTTGAGAAAAGGCAATGAGTCCGAAGGGAAATTAGCGGCAACTGTTTCATCGTTAGTTTTTATTCAACTCGGTGAAGTCGATGATGAACTGTTTCTTAAATTTCGCGATGCAATATTGCCAACAGTACGCGACGAATCGAAACTTTCATCTCTCCGAAAACACGTAAGTTTCATCAGGTCGTTTTGATTTCACCATCATCATTTCTTTGTTTCTATTCATAGTACACTCTAGCACTAGGCGTCATTTGTTTCATCTCCAGTGAGGAGATTTCAGTTAGTACACATCAATACTTTGCTTTAGTCCAAAATAAGATTTCGTTTTCTTTCAGTCAACGGTTGAATTAATGAGAATACTGGAGACGATTTTTTCTCAGTCATACTTATATGAAGATGGAACATCACCGATCATTAATCATGACCTACAAGAATTACACACAGCAGCGCTCACTTCTTGGTGCCTTTTAGCATCCACTTTACCGAATAATCTCGCCCATGAATTGATACGCATGTAAGTTATCGATAATAGATCAACCAGTTTCTATTGGCCTACTGTAGATATCTTCCTGAAAAGATTCCCGGTCTTCTGGAAACGAACGATGGTGATCTACGTAATCAAGCAGGTGAAACAATAGCTGTTTTATATGAAATAGCACGGGATATTCACAGCGTAGGCGAATTGGAGCGTGTACTACTTGATATGTATGTTTATGTGTTCTAGATCTTTGCTGAACCATCAGAGTCTTTATTGATAACATTAGAAAAGAAAGCGAATGAAAGTGCGAAATATCGTGGCAAGAAAGAGAAACGCTTACAACGTGCTACTTTTCGAGAAATCTACAATTCCTTTGAAGTAACACCATTTTACGAGAGAACTTTTCCTTCTAAATTGACGTTCACGCTTTTAGGAAGGGACTTCACCTGACTTCGACATAAAATTTGGCCGTGAAACATTGGAAATCACGTCATGGACTAGTCGATTCTATTACAATATGTTCAGCAGCATACTAGCAACAGGAATGAACGTTCATCTTAAAGTCAGTGAAGCAAAACTCATGAAATATTTCTTATATGAAATTGATTCTTTATGGTTAATAGGAGAATGGATTTCTTCGTTCGGTTTTCAATCTAGACGAGCCAGAAATCGAAAATCTTGAGCAATCAAAAGTGAATAAATTGGATCGAGTATGCTTACTTTTGTCTTCTAAATTCATTCATAATTTCTTCTCATCTAATAGCATAACGCTAACAAAGCTGCATTTAAAACTCGTACTCAAGCTTTAAATAAAACTCGTGCAAATAAAGTGAGACGTAATCACTACGAAGATTAACATCGAACAGACTTGCTGGAAAATATCTTTCCCGAAACGTTTATTTCTATCCCGTATAGGTTGATCTGCACTTCTCCAAACCTGACTAGATCTATTTTTGTTCATTTTGTTTTGGAATAAATATCGAATCGATAGAAATGTTTATAAGACATATTTGTATTTTTGTTTCTTGATGTTCTTTTTCTTTTGAATCAAAAACGAAAATCAAATAATGTTCGTAGTGCATGTTCGAAATAAATATCTTCTTTAATCGTCGCACTAAGCATAACACAGAAGCCGAGAAACTCGTCTTGATCGACGATACCATCTTCTTGACCGCGTGTATCGAATTTGTTGAGAAATTTCTTCAAAGTCTAGAATAAAAGAAAAAATGTCTTTTTCTTTCAGATTATATACCATGAATGCACTTCCTTGAAAACGTACGTAGATCAATGTAACTGCTGAAATGCTCACTAACATACATTTATCTCGTGACAGGCACTTTAAAATAATTATGTGCAAGTACAATGATTACTTTCTTTTCCGTATTTTTCATTACTGAATTAAAAATGATTTGGTTACAAGCTGCTAATTACCTTTCAAGGAAATCAGAAGCGTAAAGCACATGCTGACAACATTATAAGATGATTGAAGGTTTAACGAGCTTGAGGTAGTCAAGTGTTGACTCATAGTGACTTTTCTCTTCACACATGTCATGCATGCTGATGACACTCTCGACTTCTATTCCTAATAGATGAAATCGATCATATCTTCTAGCGGATAGGAAACTCCCTGAACGATTGCTAACAAGAATTAGTGTTTAAAAAGTTTCGGATATTTAACACATTGCGTACATAATCAATATTCTGGCTTGATCTATTTTTAACTGCTTTCAGCTGTGCCGCGTATTTCAGCTAAAACAAATAGGAAACGACTGATCATTTCCGTCGGTCGTGTCAACTACTTTGATATCTTCGATAGTTAATTTCCCATCTTTGTTGATGTCCATTGAGTTAAAGACATGGAGAGCCGCTCGATGACGTCGTTCGTTCATCGGTGGTTTGATCTGTTGGAGGAATTCAGCGAGATCGATTTGTCCATTGTTTGTTGTATCAAATCGTCGAAAGAGTTGTTTGATCTCGTCATCGTTGTTGAAATCTAATTTCAATAATTTCATCGCAGCATGAAATTCCTCATATGTTATTCGGCCGGAGCAATCTAATTCGATAGGTAAATATGCGAAACCTTTGCTTGACAGTGAAATGTAAACAAACCTCGATCAATTGCCGCAAATATTTCGATTAGATCAGATTGTTTGGTTGTACTATCTAATAACCGTTGTCGAAGAATCTCCATCTTTGTGTCCATAAGGAAGAAAAAAAATGAGAAATAAATTTTTAATTTACTTCCTAAACTCGAGAAATGAAGAAAAAAGAAAGAGAGAAAAATTCTTTAATGAACTGATACGATTTATGGAAATTAGTTTCTCGCCTGTATGTACTTTTGCAAAACTTTCCTCAGATGCTCAACAAAGCAAACATATGAAAACGAACAGGAAAAATAACACACTGACCGATTTTGTTTTCGGAAAAAAAAGACATTAGACTATGTTTTCTCGCTTACTAACATTTCCTCCTCTCGCTCTCTTCTAAAAATAGCACTGTTTTATTCTATATTATGTTATCACTTCCATATTTCACAGAGATAGATAAGATTGTGAATGGCGATTCGGTTTGATTTAAAGTTTATTGCTGACAGACATGAAGAATTCTGCATAAAACAACTAATTATATTAAGTTTTTTAGATACGAAGAAGAAAAACAAAGCTTGGCCGTTTGTCATTGAGTGGTGTTCGGTCGGCCAGGTAATAGGAGATGTTGTTGAAGGCGTAAGCGTAGAATTTCGGTTCTTAAATAGTTCCGACGTTGAATTTCACTTAGAAGACTTTCGTGTGATGCATTGCTGTCGTCTAGTGTTTGTTTTATTCGTTCATCGGTTGAATAGGTAGATGGGTTGAATGGTTCGCGAGATTGAAGTGCTTTTGAATGTTTTGTATGAATGCGCAAACGTAAAAGAAGATCTTCACATCGACGCGCTAGATCGTCAAAGTTGTCGATGTTATCAGTTGGTACTTTGGGTTTATACGGTGGAGATGAGTTCTCTGTTAGAAAATCAAATCGTACTCGGTTTTGCTTGAGTGTTTTACAAGATTTGGAAGTTTTCGTTCGTGTTATTGGGTCATTGTCGAGAGTTATAAAAAATTTTACAGCTTGCTGTTGTGATTCTTCTTGTTTTTGGTAGGACTTTTCGCGTAGAAGACGTTCAGCGCGTTTCCGTTCGTGTCGCGTGTGACGTTCAAGTTCCTGCAAACGTTGTTCATTGCGTTGACAGTTGCGCACAATATCTTGAAGAGTTTCAATACGGTTAGTTGAAACTAATTGATCAACATTAGGTATTCTTCTATTCATAATGTTTGAGACGGCGTTCTGTCTTCTTCTTCTTCTATGTGCGTAAGGTATCGACGCAGACGTCAAGAAAAAAGACTGACATGGCAACAATCGTTAATGTGATGAATGACTTTTTTTTCCATTCTACTAACCCATGACAAAAATCATTGTTTTATTTGCTGTTCTCATGCAATGATCGACATACTTGAATATTAAAGAACTCTTTCTTTTTCTCAGTATCCAAGGTCAAAATAAAATGATTAAAAGTAGAAAGATGATAAGTCGAACGATTATGATATTATTGGCTGCGGCCGGTGGTATGTTATTTGGTTTAGGTTTCATATTTTTAAACTATCGATCGATCACTGAATATGAAGATTATGATTTCACTGCACTGAAGTCAATTCCAATAGAAAATGACTTTAAATCAAACAGTATATCGGAGGCGTCCGCAGCATCTACTAGTAATTTGAATTTCAAAGACGTTCGCATCCAAACGTATACAATTTCATTGTTTACAGTAATGGAATGATTTGGGACTGAGAGCCTGTCTAGAGTCATTTTATTTATGCTTCAGAGTGCGAAAAACGCGAAAGTTACAGTTCGAGAAGCTGGTCACGGAAGTTATCACATACTTTTGCTTCATGGGCACAAATATTCTTCACAAATATGGCAAAAACTTGGTAACAAATCAAACGATAGTATGAGTATATGAGCGATATGTGATCATATTTAGGCACATTACAATATTTAAGTAAATGGGGTTATCGAGCAGTTGCTGTTGATATGCCAAAACGAGAGAATCGAACTACAACGATGGATGACGATCAAGAAGCGATTCGTTGGATGGGTAGCCTTATTAAAAACCTTCGTCTTTCGAATCTAGTTATTATTAGTCCATGTCTAAGTGGAGACTTTGCTTTACCATATATCTTTCAACTGCCAAAAAATCAGAAGTTAGTTCGAGCTTTCGTAGCGATTGCACCAAATGGAACAGAGAGATTTGCAAATGACGACTATCGACAATTAACGGTAAGCAGCGGATGGATAAGAATGATATTTTCTTATAAGCATTTGTGTATTGTATGATAGATTCCAACGCTGATTGTTCATGCAGAACATGACTCTGTGTTTCAACCTGCCTATGAGCTTCTCATTCAAATTCCAAACAGCGAAGTCTTATTCATGATTGGTGCTGGACACAATTCCTATGTTGACGCGCCAGTATTTTTCCATGATGGACTTCGAAAGTTTTTACACAATGTCTCTAGGCTAGCTTAGAATATTCATCTCTTTTTTCTATGGAAACGCGATATATTATTTACATCTGCATTTAATTCGATGTGATAATCGGTATTTTTAGTCAAATTCAATAAATCATTGATATTTACAACAATGGATACGAATATTCCTGGTAAAATCATAATCTTCGTGTTGATGCAATCTACATCGAATAGTCTAGCACAATAGAATTGCGAATTATCTTTGATGTGTCATGTGCCCTCATTCACAGCCCATGTGATGTGTCATTTGACAGTACACTAAGAAAGCCTAGAACTCTTTCTGAGATAGCTTTTCTCTGTTCTGTACCCGACATGAATGACGTCGATCCGATGGATCGAAAGCACGAGCAACACTCGTGAGTACGGTAAGCAGAGAAATCTTTCTTTTCTCTCCTACTCTCTATCGGAGTTCTTATATATATATATGTACATACATTGATGTGTAGATATATGACATACAACTCGTGAATCGTGCGAAAGAAATTGAATCTTATTTCTTCAACAAAAAAAATTGCAAATACTATGCCATTTATCGGACGAGATTGGCGTGCGGATGGCGAACAATGGACGAAAAGCGAAATCGGCTCGTGGGAACGATCGCGGCGAATCTCATTTTCTAATCTGGTAAGTCATTCAGATCTGATCTTTCATCTCAATCGAATCGTTTTCGATGAAGTCGTCAAACTATAACTGCAGTCTGTCGGATATATTCAATGCACTCGATATCGTAAATTCAGTTACTAATCAACGAAGGTTCAATTATATTGCAAAAGTAAGTTATTTTATTAACATCTATAAAGCATTGCATCGATATATACACTTAGGTTGTACAAATTCTATGCGCAGAAAAACTCGGAGAGCTCAGCGGAACAGCCCAACGTTGTCTATTTCAAATTCTTGATCGAATGATTCAGATGGGTATGAATCAATCAAGTGTTGAATCATACTGATGTGATCTTTGTGCATTCTAGTTCTTACAACTGGAGATAATATCCTATTAATGCAACGATTAGTAACACAATTTCACGATTGCATTCACCGCGCTTATCCGTTCTATTATTATATCGGTTCGGCAGCCTTATGGCGTCAGAATACGGAGATGTTAACACGAATGAAAGAAAAAGTTAAACATATTCACATTCAAACAGTTGATCAGAACAAGCCAACGTTAAATTGCCTTCCGACGGAGATCCAACGGGAGATCGTCCGAAAACTGGACAATGGAATAGATCTGATCAATTTTGGAATGATAAATTCAAGTTTGCATCGATTAACGCAAGAACTTTTACTATGGAAACAATTATGCTTGTATCATTTTGGTGATGAGACACAAAGTGATGATAAAATGGGCGAAAAAATTCTTGGACTACTAAGACGACAATCGAAAGATTTCGACAAAGAAAATGTCGATTGGAAAAAAGTTTATTTCAAATTAAAAAGGCAACATGGCCTTCGAGAAGTTTATGCCGATATGATTCATCAATGTCAACTATGTAAAAATCTTTTTTGGCAGGTTAGTCGAATCCTGTTGAATCACGTTCGCATTTCTATCTCTTCCATTTAGGATTGTGATCATTCATGTTTATATGAAACACGTACACCATCATCCAAGTCTATTACGCCACGCAAACTTGTAAATATGCTGATCTAACAAGTGGCTCTTTTTATAAGATACATTTTGTAAATAAACATTCGTCTTTTTTGCTACTGATTCGTGCAGTGCACATCAATCTATGCAGTTTTTTATTTTAAAAGAAATAAATTCACTCCATTATTCAGTACAACTGAATACCATACCACCTATTTGCGAACTGCTCGACGGACTAAGATATATAAGAGCTGGAACACACACGTTCAATGGAGCAGGCGTTTTCGCGAAATACAAATCCAATCCCGGATAGCAGTTTTTGAAATTGTATACTCGAAAGTTTTCAACAGTTTTCGTAGCAGCATCGTACACAAATCGGTACGTGGAGGATGTAGGATCATCGGGAAGCGCTGTGCAACTGCCATTGTAAACCGTAGCTATGAAAGTACTATTAGGTGTTCCTGAACATGTCATATCTTTGAAATCAGCCCAGAGAGATACATTGCAACTTGGCACAGAGGATGAAAATGAGGTGAAAAGAAGAAGAAAAATAGATGCTAGTAAAATCATCGTTTCGATTCAATATATCGCATTCAATTCTCCGCAATATATATACTCGAGTAATGTATTGTATATAGGACAGATGCACGATTTTCTCATAAGTAATAGTCAGTATGGCAAAGCAAACATTGTCATAGGTAAATAGTAAGAATTCTGTATATTTTGTTCTGTAAAAGGGTGAAAATCTTCGCATTTATTCTTAGCTCATTGATGTGGTTCAGATCAACTTAACACCCTTACGTGCAATAATTAATCTCTATTGACGGAATGATGCTTATCTGTTAGTTTGAGAGATTTATTTAAATTAAATTGTGCAGCTGAAAAAAACACTACCTATTTTCACAAAACTAGTTGATGTAGCAGCATAATAAAACGAACCACAGGTATTCAATTTTAATGGCTCTTTGATAGCCATAATTTCATCGACGTGAGCACAAGTTTTATCTCTAAATACCGTGAAATTGTGCACTGTTTTTGTTTTTAAATTGATGGAAAGTTGATACGAAGTTCTTCGCGGATCATCCGGTGACAAAGTGCAACTGCCATTGTATACCATCGATGAGTATGTTCCATTGGGTGCACTAGTACATGTTACATTTGTTGGACTTATCCAAAAAGATATCTTGCATGTTGGTCTAGAAACAGTGAATGAAACCACCAGAAAAACAATTAGAACACCGAATCGACTCATAGTTTTTTCTCTTGACAAAGCAAAATTTCTTGGCTTAATAAATATTTTGTCAATGACAAATACGACAGCTGGTTATATCCCATCAATTTTCATTTTGTTTTTCAAAACGATGACATCTTTTACTATTTATTGTAATGAAATCCAGTCCAAACTCATCCAGTAGAAACTCCAAAAGTGTCAAGACATTTTTTTTCGAATATCCATCATATTTTCATCACATGAAGAAAAACCGAGAAAATTCTCTCTATTTATATCATGAATTCGTTTGGCTAACCGACTAGATACATTATTTACGCAGCTTGCAAATAGGCATGAAATAAGGCAAGAGAAGAGAAGTACTTTCTCTTCACAAGTTCGTCTTAAATTCAACAATACAGAAAACAACGTCACCAATTCAAAGAACAGAGCAATAAACGAGACGACCATTCCATACGGCGCTACTGCACGGATATGTTCTACAGATCTCTTCACTTGTTTCTCTCATTTATTCAGATATTGACTTCCACTGGTTTATTCTATCGCATAACACCAGCTCTCACATGTTCCTACGGTGAACTCGTCGAAAGTGAGAACTTTCTCAATTATCTCTTCCTCTCTATCGTCTGGATGGCCATCATTCCTATACAGTACTGCTTCTTCAAACTACTCATTCACCTTCGGATCAGGCAACTCCTTCTTTGGCTCGTTCGACTAAGATCTGCAACGAAAAGTGAGTCTTGTATCACTGCAGTAACCAGTGCTGATATTCTATTCGACATGTGAACGACCAGACCACCAGAAAAATCGATCACATACAAGCGGATCATAGCGATGCGATGAATTGTATAACAAGGTACGAGGAGAAAACTCCATTTTCGTCTCGATTCCTGGTGTTTGTTCAGTAGCAGTCGATAGTCTGGTTTCTGTCAGATCATCTGCTGGTTATGCTATCATCACTGATGTCGTCGGTAGCATTATTTTTCATTCGTTTTTGTCCGGAAAAAAGTACTCTTTTCGTGTTGATAACACTTACAACGTGTTCAGTTGTCAAGGTCACGGTGTTCTCGTGGGAACTGTACTTGCTCGAATCTTCTCACGGTCTAAAGTTAACAGTGGAGTTAGAAATGAAGCAACGTACGGAAATCCCGTCCAAGTCGGATGTCAGCTGATATGAATAAAAGTAACAGCCACATTCTCTAGTATTTTTACTACACATATAAATCAGTATTCGTATCAATCGAGTGGATCAAGCTCGTGGTCTAGATAATGTCGCACACGAAATTATTGATTTTGAACCTGTACAAGGAGCTCAGCAAATGAAATTAACTACTAAAAAAGAAACTGAAACTGAATGATGAAAGTGTACCACCACCACCAACATTTCCTCCTGCAGCGAATATATCTTGAGAAGCTCTTCGTTAAAATGGGTTTCAATATTTGTCTGTTGTAATATAAAAGCAACTCAATTTCCAAATGTACATCGTGTCCTTTAGGTGTCTCCGATACTTAACTAATTGATGATATGTAGTAGATAACAATAGAAATATGTTACAATTAGCAAATTGTTTCGTTCGCTACTCGAAATACTCTGTTAATTTTTATGCACAAAAAGAAAAGAAGAAAAGAAAATGAAAAACGCTTTTGCATTAAGTATGGTCAATACAAAGAAAAAGAGAGAAAGAGCAAGAAAGAAACGAAACGAAATAGAATACGGAAAGAAAAGTTAAAGAAAAATATGTCGAATTGAAAAGCGTACATCTGTGGTCACTCTTTATTCGCAGTTAACGTTGTTGCGTACAATGTCCCCTGATAGGCGACACCGTTTAGTTCAATTGAAATCGTAATCGATTGTTGCTGTTCAGAATTATTTTCTGCGAAAAGAAAAACAAGACGAACGTTTTGCACGGTAAAAAACGAAACTTTGTCAGTTACCTTTTGCAACGATTTTCAATTTACTGACTGGTGATAACAATGACGACGACGAGGAAGAGTTTGCTGTCACTGGTGTAAAACATGTTGCTCGGATATTGCCCAATGATGTAGCAGACTTTTTCATCGGTGAGCCCAGATTATCATCTTGAGGGTGTCGAGAGAGTAACGACGGCGAGAGACTTCGTTTTGCTATGGTAGACGAACGTTCGAACAATTTGTTTGTTGGTGATGGTGACTGTAACTGATGAGGATGAGAATGAGGATGATGGTCATCAAACGAAGGAATTCGTGGTGTTGACGATTGTTCAAGTGATGGATGATTCGCATCACGTGATGAAGCGGCTGCCGCTGCGAGAAAGAATGGATGTGAGAGAGCAGCAGCAGCGGCCATTGCTGCATGTTGCATAGCCTCGTGCCCATGACTAGGATCCACTAGATTACAGACGAAAAGGAATAAGAGAAAACTTTTGTCACACTAGTTCTACTTACATGGTCTATGTGCAAGTGGGCTAGCAAGGAAGGCACTTGTGGATGTTGGAGGGGGAGGAGGTGGTGGTGGCATTATTTGTGGTGGTGACGAATATTCAAATGCATATGACGGCCGGCGTCCTTCACGTCGGTTACCTTCTATGAAAAGAAAAATAAATATAAAAAATAATGAGTTATGGACGAAAAGACTTGATTGAAATTACCAATAGCAGCTTGTAATTCACCCGGTGAACTTAATTGTAATTTCTCACATTCGTATGGATATAAATATTTCATGTATCTTAATAGAAAGACAACAGTAATAATATATACTTTCGTACATTATCATTAGTCTTTCGATCGTTTTCTTTTTGTGCCTATAATCATCGCAAACAAACGGCATTGACACGCTAAGTTGAGGATTAATGATGGTGTAAGGATTCTTTCTTTGTCTCAGTCAGAGAGAGATATGCCAGAACAAATTGATCTCTTATCATTTATGTTCAAGACATTGACATATGATAGACAACAGATGTCGAGACTATTGACTGGAATAAAAAAAACTACAAATCTTCTTCTTTTTCTTCGACAGAGGCCCAAGCTATTGACCTCTATATTAAGATTTATTAGTGTAACACATGATACATGTCAACACTTTATCTAATTATTAAACTCGAAGAAACAATCTCGATCAAGTCAATGCGAAATACTTATACAATTAACACATCGCTCGATCTAATTGGGAATCGACGATTCGAATATTTCGCATGTCGAAGAATGGAACTCCTCTTTGTGTCTCACTATCTCGCCAAGTTTATTTATATATGCGTATGTTAATGTAAAGATACTTATACATACTGTGTACGTAGAGTAAATGCAGCACTGGTAATCGAGCTTGGTAAATTGAGACCTTTCGTCACTTCACGCCACAATTTCTTGTTAATTACTTCTACGAGACCGCC